TAATGATGTCTTCCAGTCTCTGCATGTCGTTACTATCTTCGTCTACTACACTAAAGTAGTACTCATTAGGAGCGATAACTCTAGTAAAGTACGACATAAATCGGAATGCTATTCCGAAGTATGTCTCGAGGCTCTTAGGCCCTTTATGTGGATCGAACGGTCTAGTCTTACCCTATAGATCGACTTATAATGGTTAGAAGCGACTAAGGACGACTCGACATTAGTAGGTTAACATATAGTTAGGTCCATCGAAACATAGCCTATATGCATCTTATAGTAACGATTACATGGCGTCGATAATCGTACGAAGATCACTCTTATCTCCTAGTAGGGGAATGGCGATCGCTATCCAAACTTCGTCCTTCTAGAGATGTTATATATGTTCGGTAATGCCTATCTCTCTTAACTAAGGAACTACGGTAGAGACGTAATCGTAGAAGCCATATACTTAATTAGCATCGTCGATAGCATCCTACTATGCTTGCTAGATATCGTCTTCTAAGGCGTAGAAAAAGTCCTACTTCTAGGATGTCTATAGCTCTAGATCTAGGACTCTACCCTACTTTACTACTTTAAAGTACCTTTACTAGCTATTAACCTTAAAGAAACGTTAGTAGGCATAGTTTGTAGTCTAGATCTTATTCGTTAAATGGAGGCTTTTAGTACGCGTGTCTCCTCTACGCTTCTACTTATTTACCCATCCGTGTTTATCTTTATAGTGCTTTCGCATTAGACGCAGATTACGACATACGTAAGCGTAAGCTATATTCTTATGGTTCGATGCATTACATCTAAGCCTATCGAAAAAGACTAGAAGGAATAGGACTAGAGGATCCGTTAGTGTTAGATATACGATAGCTTTATAAACATTCGCTAGAGTAGAGTAGCCGTTAACTTTCGTAATATAGTCGCGACGTTATTCTATAGTAAGACGCAAGTAGTGCGTTTATAGATATGTCGTTAGCTACGAGGGTATAATTACGTACTAGCATAGCATGTATATTAGAATCTTATGTTTATCGTTAACCTAAAGAAGACGGTCGAAATCTATTAATAGAATGGATTAACAAACTAAGAGACTATAAATGCTATCTTAGTCGCGCTATATAGGCACATTATAGATTAATAGCGCATTAATACACTCCTATGCTATTAGGCTTTATTAATATGTATATAGTTAGTTACTAGGGTCTAGTATAGGGAAGCTCCTAGATCTGTTATAGTGCGTCTTTAGCGTAATTATTACTATAGAGTAGCTATACTACTCCTACGAATAAGCAGACAATATTATGTATGTAAGTAGATCTATACTTAAATACTTATATCTGTTAATTTTAGCTAATTTAAAGCTCATTAAAGCAAAGGTTTCGTCTCTTATAAAGCAAAGGTTTCGGGTTAAAGCTATAAACCCTAAACCCTAATTTTGTGTAGGGTTTTAAAGGTTTCGACTCGAACCCTTTATCTTCTAATAGTAGTAATATGTTATATATAAAAATAGTCTATCTTATTAGGCATAATATAATTAAACACCTAAGACTATAACATATTAGCATATAACATTAGGGTACTTATAACATTAACTAATTAACATAATAACCTCTTATCTACTTTTTATAAGTATACGCTATAACTTTTGTTATATAAACCTACTCTAAAAGTGTATAGTTAATATATCTTTATTATATAGTAAGGAAATTTATAATCCTAATAGCTTATAGTAAGGAAATTTATAATTCTAATAGCAAATAACTCTATAGTCTATAAAACTACTTACCTTACTAATAGAATTGCTATTTGCTTTTTTAATACATACGCTATAACTTTAGTTATATAAACTTACTCTAAAAGTATATGGTTAATGCGTCTTAGTTATATAGCAAGGAAATTTATAATCCTAATAGCTTATAGTAAGGAAATTTATAATCCTAATAGCTTATTTGCTAATTAGTCTAATAGAAAAGAACCCTAATAGCTACCCTATAAAGTAACTACTTCTAGGTATAGTAACCTACCTATATATAACTTAATAACTATAATAGATATAGACATGTTTAGTAAAGTAAAGTTTATTATATTAATGCACTCTATAGTTTTATTAAAAAACATTAGGCGGTTTATTTATACGTTATTATAATACCTACCTTACGCGCCCGACGCCGTGATTTTCTCTAAGTCCTACGCCCCTATATAGGCCCCCTAAACCTCTCCTTAGGGTAGGCATAGTATGCCTTTTTATCTATTATATAGGTAGTTATTATTAGCTAATTCCTTATTACTACTTTTTTCTTTATTATCATTCTCTTTAGAATTGCTTTTAACGTCTTTTTCTTTAATTTTTCCTTTTTAAGATTACCTTTCTTTATAATAATATTAATCTTATAAGTGCTATTTCTTTTACCCTTTTTCTTAGATATAAAAAAACTATATAGCTCCTATCTTAGCATTATAATAGACTAGGTATAAGTTATTATAGTATACTATCTAGCTAAAAGTCTTATAGATACTCTATCTTTTAGTTTCTATTAGCTTATTATGCTCTAGTTCCTTTTTTTTAAAACGGCGCTATATTATATTAAATTATTTTTAAGGTACCCTATTTTTTAAACAATAATTTTTTACTATATAACCTTTCTAGTTATATGTATAGTAAGTTATTTAACTCTTTTTTTTTAAACTACTTCTTACCCTAAAATTAGTAACCTTTAGTAATATCTAGTTCTATTAGTATAGGTCTATAGGGATTCTAGTACTAGTTATATATATTAAAGTTTCTTTCTTTATTAGTATTATTATTACTATAGTATAGAACATAGCTAAACTTACTATAAGGGGTAACGTTATAGCGTCTTTCTATAGTACGTTTATAAAGGTTATTATTAATTTTAATTAATATATAGATAAGATTATTAAGATCTTTAATTTTTATGCTAGCTCTTATAAGTTTATTTTTAACGTTCTTTTTTAAACTATATTAATATATAGTTATTAAGGCAAAGTTATTCTAATTAGTAATCTAGGCATACTTTTAAAACTTAGCAGTATAATTAGATGCTAAAGTATATTAGTAGATATACTAAATAAGGCGTATAGTAATCTTATCTTTATTAGAAATGCTAAAGATATAGCGTATCTTAGCCTTAAATTTAATAAAGCTTATTATAATACTATAAGTATCTTCTTTTTATTAAAAACTTTTAAAGTATTAGTTTTATCTAGTACTAGGCTTTTCTATAGAAATAGGTACTAGTAAAGATAGTCTTTTTAGCTTTTTCTATAGAAGTAAAGATATAATAGAGATCTATCTAGTTAAGCTAATTATTAAGCCCCTAATAGTCTCTATAGTAGAAATTAGGCTTAGTAACCTTACTATTATTATAGAAGGTGCTAGTAGTACGGGTTCTATTAACCTTACTAAGTATAGAAGTATCTTTCTAGATATTACTTAAGTAACTTATTCTAAGGGCGTTTAAAGTTATTATAGCTAACTATTCTAGGAAAAATAACTAGTTATAGGGTTAGACTTATAAAGAAAAGTATTAAGCATAGTAAAGTAGGTATAAGTAGTAGTATATACTAAAGAAACTATTAGAATAACTAATTAAGTTAAACGTAAGACCTTCTAGTAAGTTTCTACCTATCTATATATCTAATAGATAATAAGTATATATATATTGCTCTATATGCTCTATTATGCTCTATAGAATAGAGTAGTAAAATAGAATAGAATAGATAGCATATTTATATAGAGTGCTCTATTATGCTAAGATATAAAGAATAGTAGAGTAGGCTATATAACCCTATTATTTATAGAATTATAATACTAACCTTAGTTTTTAATTATTTTACTTAACTATCTTTTTTTTATTAACTTTTAATCTTTTAACTATATACTAACTATAGACTATAAAGGCCTTCTTACTTTTATATAAAAGTAGCTTATAGCTATATATAGCTAGTTTTACTAATAACTAGTCCTTATACTTCTTTTCTACCTACTAATACTTTAGTTTAGAGTAGTCTATATACTACTATCTCTAAAGTTTTTACTTTTTTCTTATTTAGTATTATTATTATAAAAGCACATTTTAAGGTAATTTATAGTAGGACAAGTTTAATAGCTTTAATAGAATAGCTACTAGAATGTAGTTATACGCATATAAGTTAGGGTATCTAATAATTGCTAGCTATACCGTATCCTTAGAAATTAGACAAATGGCAGTGTTTTTAACTAACGCTATTAACGTCGGATCGTAGCTAATTCTCTATCCTCTCGATTTGCTTAAAATTAAAGTATGGCCCTGCACAATTCTTACTTCCATCCTGCGTGTCTTCTACATGTCGTGCGACAGTCGGCGAACGCCTAAATGATGGGTTTAATAACTCGAACAAATGGGATGGCGGCGTAATACACCAAACCCGCTTACGACTAAGGGCTGCGTCTTGCTTTTCCGGGCTGCCGGCGCGTCACTGTCAAGAACCATCGTCGACATGCAACAATTGCAAGGACGAACCATGATGTCTTCTAACAATATAGTTTGCATCGCGGCGGCCAGCCTAAATCCTTTAGGTTCCAGACTGTCTGTGAGTATCTGTTTAGGTAGGGCGACGCTGTCAAAGGGTCAGGGTTCTTATCTAGACTTTCGACGCGTTGCCATGTATTGCCCATGCTATCTCTGGCTTGTTATCTATCAACAAATCGCGTCCAATCATTTGCGTAGCTTGCCAACGGAAGCAAGTATCGAACAAAGAGGATGATAGCGACAAGTACAGTGGCGCGCGTGAGTCTCTTACTCGATAGCTGCTTGTCAGATGTCGAGATCTGGCCCATTTTGTTTTTCGACCAGAGACGCGGCGCTGCGATAACAAGCGGTTTTGCCTCCAGCTGCTTGACCTGATGCGACTTGTATATAACCAAGTTGTCCAAGCACGATCTTTCGATCTTTCCCAACTATCAATCTTTACTGATATCAATTTTTCGACCACATCGCCTACTAATCAAGATGGGCTACGACGACGTCAAGGGCAATGCCTCTGGTGAGGTCACTCACACTGTGGAACCGGTCCAGATGGGAGACTCTTCCACTTACAAGCGTCGCTTTGCTGGTCTCAAACTTGCTGTCGATCAAGAGCCCAGCAGTTTCGCCACGAATCCAAATGCTTCAAACGCCGATTTTGATCCCATTCCGCCTTCAAACCGGACTTGGACTTGGAAAGCCTATATCGCATACTGGATGGCCGATGCTTGGGCCGTATCCAACTGGGAAGTCGCATCATCCATGATTGCTGGAGGCTTGAGCTGGAGAATGGCCATTGGAGCTTGCGTACTTGGTAACTTCATCATGGGTACGGTGATTACGATGAACGGCAGGATTGGAGCTCACCTTCACGTTCCTTTCCCCATCATTGCGCGTGTGTCTTTCGGCTACTATTTCAGCTACTTCGTCGTTGTGTCACGATGTGCGCTTGCGATCATCTGGCTTGGAGTCCAGACAGTCACTGGCGGTCAATGCATGGAGGTTTTGCTGACTGCCATCTGGCCGAGTTATGCAAGCATTCCAAATCATATTGCTGCTGGCCAAGGCATCGATACCAAGGGCATGTGCGCTTTTGTCCTCTACTTTNTACTCCAGCTTCCATTCCTCTGCATTCCTTACACCAAGGTCCAGTACTTTNTTGGATTCAAGTCGATCATTGCACCCATCATCTTTCTGGCCGTCTTTGGTTCTACACTGCACAAGGCCGGAGGTACCATCAGTACTAGCCCTGTAATCACCCAAGGACCGACGGTGAAAGGCTCTGTCTTGGTCTGGGCCTTCTTCTCCAACCTCAACTCAGTTCTCGGTAACTACTCTACTCTAGGTCTCAACATCGCCGACTTTGCAAGGTATGCAAACAAGAGGAGTGCTCAGAATTGTCAAGCATTTGTCATTCCCTTCATCTTCACCATTGTCGGTCTTCTGGGAATCTTCACTGCTGCCGCATCTTCAGTCGCATATCCGGCAGAGGTCGCTACAGCGGGAACGCCTCTGTGGAACCCAGTCACCATTGTCGGACTCTGGAGTGCCTCTGGTTCCCACGCTGGCCGCGCCGCCTCTGCATTTGGTGCCATTGGATTGATCATTGTCACTCTGGGTATCAATATCTCGGCCAACTCAATCAGTGCAGCAAACGATCTCGTCTCCTTCTTCCCCAAGTATATCAACATCCGCCGTGGCCAACTCTTGGCCGCCACCATAGGTGCATGGGCTTGTGTACCGGTATGCTGTCGTACGTCTTAGGCTCTCTTATCATGACTAACGTCGTTCAACAGTNGGAAAATCCTTGCCTCGGCTGTGAAGTTCCTTGCTTTCCTGAGCGGCTACACAATCTTCCTTGGTCCCATGACCGCCATCATCATGGTAGAGTAAGTCATCACCTCCTAGAGACAAGGTACCAAGCTAACATCATCACAGCNNTACTACATCACTCGCCGTGGCAATGTATCCGTACCAGACATGTACAAGTTCGACGGCATATACCGCTACTCGCCCAAATTCGCGACAAATTGGCGTTCTGTTGTCGCACTGATCGTGGGCGTTGCTCCTCCTCTACCTGGCTTTGTGAACAGCATTGATCAAGGCCAACTTGCTGTATCTCTTGCAGGCCAGCACATGTAAGTCATCTTCATCCAACTTCTCCATTATTTTCCACCTGTGACTGACAATTCCATAGCTNTTGCTATTGGCTACATGTATTCCTTCTTGGCTGCTGGACTTTGTTACTGGGCTCTGATGCGATTCGTGCCAGAGGAGGAGAGCAGAATGGATCACGAAATCACCGGCGAAGAGATTCTCATCGCAAATGACGAGAGAAAAGGGAAGTATTGGCACAGGGAAGAGAAGAAGGGGTTCTCGGTGAAGAGTTGGGTGTCGAGACGTACGGGCAGCGATTCGAGCATAGCTTGATTTTTTCTAGTATTTCCATGTTGAATCACTAAACCGGAGTGAATCGGGTGTCAAAGGCCATAGAGAGGGAAAAGGGCTTCTCTTGCAGATTCATATACCAATACCAAATACTCTAGACGAGTATAAACAACAAGAACAAAAGAGAAAATAAAAAAGACACGATCACTCGAGTTCACGTCTTAATCTGTTGGTAAGAACACTAACCTCGTGCCAACCTCTTCCGCGTCTGGGGCGGTCTTTGCACTTGCGCTTTTGTCTAAAGATACGTCTTGGTTCCTCGACAGCGCTGTCTTTGGCAAAGATTGACAGGTCATTGGTAGAGACTGTGCCACGTAGATCGGCAGGGTCAGGGTTTGGGTATAGGCCATCAAGTTGCACCGAGTCTCGTACTACTGTAAGTACAATACATCATGATCACTTCTGTCTCATCTTGCCCAGCCAGACGCACGCAGCTCGCCTCTCATTCCAGGATCACAAAGTTCGTCGGCCGATCCGCCATCCACTACTTAAATGTCGTCGTCTTCCTGCGGTACTCGCTGTTTCCATCGTGAGGACCCAAACAACATTCCGGACAATACCTACGATCCGTACCATGAGCCTCTTCCGCGGCCCCTGAGTCGATGACTCTCTTAACTCTCTCTTTCTGCATCGCAAGCCGCTACTACATCTCCGGCTCACTGTTGTTTTGTGCGCGCAATGCCCAAATCCTCTCGGCTGTTCAGTCAGATCCAACTCCAGGTTCGAAGCTTCGCACACGATCAACAAGCGCATATCACAAGTCGCTCTACTACCGAAGGATCATACATCCCTCCACATTACGCCTTCTGCGATTCCCTATGCGTGTGAAGGTGAGTGTGAGTCTCGTCAATCGAGCCGAGGCTGTCAACTCGCCAAGCTTCTGTTCCATGGGCTTGCTCAAGTTTAAGTCTGCCTCGGCACGCTCCTTCTCCGCCAACATCAACATCATTTCCTAGGGTCACATGGTAGGCAAAAACTTTTCTACTGTTGACAGCAGTCTATATATGGTTTGATGAACTGTAAGTCGAAGAAGGTCCATCAGTACGGGGATACTTGCGGGGATACTTTGTCAATTCACGCTCCATTGGCTGTTGTCTTCCACATCTGTACAGTTTGTGATCCTTTTCACTTGTCGTGCCGCTCGAGGTGGCTTACCAGAATGATCAACTGAGGGGAAGAAAAAGTAAATTATGGAAAAGGTCACACTGATTGCATCTATCAACATTCAAAATGTGGTCGTCGACTCTGGATGGTGTCAACCGTCTGAACTTTCCAAATCTTGCCTCCAGGGGCGAGTGAGCCTCGGCCAATATCTTTATGTGAGGCGCTGCTTCATTCGATATCGAACAGATATCAAGAAGCTCAAATAGCTTGCTTTCTCCCATGTCAGTCCTTATCTCCTCATCATCTTACTATCACAAAGACACTGTCGCTCACGAGAGAACTTCTATTTCCCCGATCTGTGACTATCTTCTTCCGATACTCTTCCTCTCCCAAAAGCTATCCGCTACTTCACACTTTCCAAGATGAGAACTGTTGCCATCTTTGCTGCTGCCATTGCCTTTGTGGCACCCGTCCTGGCACAGTCCAACGCTGCCTCGGTGCTTTCCAGCTTGCCCAGCTGTGGTGTATGTAGTACTGTCACCCTTGATCGAATCTGATGTACTGACACCCTCGACAGCAAACATGTATCCTTAACGGCATCGCTGCCACCGGCTGCTCCGCTAGCGATTCGGCTTGCTTGTGCTCCAACACTGCCTACCAGTCTGGGGTCGCGTCCTGCGTGACCTCGAGCTGCAGTGCCAAGGACGCAGCAAAGGTCGCCGCTGCCGCAAGCTCTCTCTGCCCCAGCGGCACTGGTGCTCAAGCTGCTAGTGGATCTTCTGCGGCTCCTGCGTCCTCGGCCGCTTCTGCTGTCTCGTCCTCGGCTGTTGTCGCTTCTTCCAGCGCTGCCACTATGATGGCATCTTCGTCGGCTGCTGCTAACACCGCTAGCTCTTCCGTGATGATGTCTTCCTCGATGGCTGGTTCTGCTACCAGCGGTGCTGCTTCTGCTACCAGTTCTATGGCTGTCTACACTGGTGCTGCCTCGAACATTGGTGCCGGGCTCGGTTTCCTCGCTCTGTTGGGTGTTGCTGCTGCGATTTGAACAGTCTAGCACTAACAGCGACTAAATAGTCGTCTTTTCCTTACCATTTCATCTCTTAGTGTTTCTTGTTACTATTCCAGTACTTCCTTCCCACAGTAGTCTGTTGGGAAATGTATCATATAATCACATGTCTCTGTTTCGCCTGACGTATTCTCCTGATTTGTTTCACTGATGAGGTTTATACGTCCGTCGAAGCGATACCAGGGATAATTACGCTTGTCATCCCTCTATTTATCGTCACAAGGTATCATGAGAGGGATGGGAAAAGAGAAACGAGAAGTGTGGGAAAATAACGCGTCGACTACCTCTCGAACCTCCCGTGACAATCTCTACCGTAAACACTCCAACCCTGTAATCATAATAGTCGTTATTGAAGCCCCATTAGTTTAGATCCCTCCAGGAAAAAGCCATGAGAAGAAAGAATCAGACACCAGCAATCTACCGCTTCTCATTTCGGGTCATAGTTTTCCCAGCCGTACGTACCCTCAGACATGGGATACTTCTTCATCTCGGCTTCTTCTTCTTCAGCACTCATCGCCATGGCCTTCTGCATCGACCTCTCTGCCGGACTGATTCTCTTCAAGAAACCCGAGAGACGTTTTCCCACACCTGGACGGTCGTCGCTGTTACTGTCGCGCCGAGAAGACCTGGCTTCGTCTTGTGCAAGTGCTTGCTTCTCCTGTTCTGCAGAGGGAAACCTGTGGGGATTGGATGTGGTATCTTCCTCGACGACATGCCCGTTGGTTACCGTCTTGCCGCCGACGTGGAAGGTTTCCATGTAGCCACCGCCATTCATCATGTCGCGTTTCTCTGCCCAGGCCTTGAGTGATTTGAGGTTGGCGGCTTCTTGGGATGCAGTGCGACGTAAGTATTGTGGTGGCTCAGCTGCTGGGACCTCGGGTTCGGGCAGAGGGTCTTGAGTGTAGACTGGCAGTGGTTCTGGCATTTTCTGCGACATGGTTCTCAAGACGTGTGGGTTTGGCGTTTGAAGGTAGATTTGACGAGAAGAGTGAGGGGAGTGAAAGGAGAAAGCAAGTGGAGCTTAGCCTGCAGTCTTGTAGAAGCTTGGTAAATGCTTGTCGAGGCTTGATTGTTCTATTACTGTACTTTTCTACGCCAAAGAAGGCGATGCAGTAGACGGGTGTGTGACAGTCACATATGTAGAAGGATCAAGCTGGACTGTCAGCCTATAACGCAGGAACGTGGATGCAAGAAAGGCAAGTGCAGAGGAATAAGGTTCATCGGGGTACTGCGGTGGTGAGCTCGTCGTGACGTATGAGGCAACGTCAATGCCGCTTCTTCCAGTAACTGGCGGAAGGACTGCAACATTTACCAAAACATTCATACAAGCTGTACAAAAAAAAAACAAGGACATTCTCGCATCAAAAATGAGCAGTACGCGCGGCGCCTTGGTGGTGGTGGGCAGCGGGCCCGGGATTGGCAGTCACGTCGCACGCACCTTCTCTGCGCACGCTTTCAAGCGCATCATCCTGCTCTCACGCGACCCCTCGCGCCTCGAGAAAGATGCAGAATTCATTCGCTCGGCCACTCCCTCTGCCGACATCTCAACACTGCCCATTGATCTGTCCAAGACAAGCGATATCCCCGCGGCGCTTGCTGCAGTTGACAAAGCTCTCGGCAACACACCGCTCGAAGTGGTGCTCTTCAACGCCGCACGAGTTGGTCCCAGTACCCTGGTCGAGTGGCCCATGGAAGAGCTTGAATTGGACCTTCGCATCAAAGTCACAGGCTGCTATGCCGTTGCCCAGTGGGCGATTCCAAAGTTGCTGCAAGTGAAGGATAACCTCAAGCCCGCTTTCCTCTGCACCTCAGGCTCCATCTACAAGGATCCTCTGCCAGAGGTGTTTTCGCTGTCGGTGTGCAAAGCTGGGCAGCACAATCTGGTGCACAGTATGCACAAGAAGTACAAGGACGAGGGTGTATATTGTGCTCTTGTCGTTGTTGGAGGCGTCGTTGCTGACGAGAATCCCGAGTGCAACGCCGGGAACATTGCGAACAAGACTTGGAATTTGTATGAGCAGCGCGACGATCATGAAGTCGAGATTATCGACCAATAGAAGATCAGGTTGTTTTTGTCAGGCCGCAGCTTTATGCAGGTGAAATGTTACTGTGTTTATGAGTTGAATGGTAATGAGGTCTAGCCGAGGTTGCATTTTCCCCCGATTCCGAATGCCTGTTGGCCAACCCTGACGCTTTACTACCATCCTTCCACCCTGTGGTTAACACGTCCATGCGAGTCATCGTGGCTCATGGATTTATTGTGGTTTCTTGTGATTTAGCAGGTCAGTTTCTCAACCAGCCTATAGGCTCGGCCAGTATCACATTCTGCAAATACAGCCAGAACGCTGGAAATTCAGTCCGTTCTTTCTCGAAGGGATTGCAATGTAAGCAAGCACTGACCATCACAAGTTTCTGACAAGTCTCAGGACGACCAGTATATCACAACAAGCCAAAGCCCTTCTTCTGTCTCCATCATGTAGTACTATCTCTCCATCGGGTAATAGCAAGACGTTCAGACCAACGTCAACCTTCGCGCACCCCAACTCAAACCGCCAACAGCGGCAGTAACACCAGTCATGATGATGAGCAAATTATAGTCGGACGAATATCCCAGCGTGTGTCTTCCGCTTGAAGACGTCATGCGCACCAGAGCGTCACTCATGGGACCAGAGCAAATACTGCCGATTCCCCTTCCCATAGCCAAGAATCCAAAGACGAGACTGGGATGTGTTTCTGCATTCGACGCCATGACTTCCTTGATGATGCCACTCCATGTAGTGCTGAAACTGCCAGCGAAAAAGCCGTAAGTGATTGCAAAGGCGAGAAGCATTCCGGTCGACGATGCGAGTCCCCAGAAGATGAACACTGAGAGCAAAGCGCCGATTGTGGAGAGGAGAATGGCCGTCGTGATGTGCGTCCTATCGATAATCAACCCCAGGATGATGCAGCCAAGCACGCCCGACGCATTCAGCAAGGCCAGAGTGGCAGTTGCGATAGTGTTGGAGGAGCCAATGGATCGCGCATAGGTAGGAAGCCAGATACTGGGCAAGAAATAACCCAGTCCCTCAATCCCGTTGCCCAAGCTGTAGATGATGAACAACCTCGACTTGAGAAAGGACAGGTTGAAGCGAGGGCGTGGAGCAGATGATGCCGAGTTGATCGGCACGCGAGGTCGCGTGAAGTGTAGGAAAGGCAGGACTAGCAGGACCAGTACAATTGCCCACATTCTGAGAGCTGTGCGGAATGACCAGCGATCCAGAACCCACGACATGAGATAAGGGATTGATGCTCCAGCGAACCCGCTGCCAGCCCACATGACACCATAAGCCAAACCCTTGCGTCGTACAAACCACTCGTCGACATACGTAACCGTGGGACTGTAGAGGAGCGAGCCGCCAACGGCATACAACACACCCTGTGTGAGAAGCAGCTGCCAGACAGCGTTCGCGAAAGAGGAGGCCACCAGGGAGATTGTCATGCACGCCAAGCCTGCATATGTCGCACGCTTCCTGAGGTGTGGCCAGTATGCAAGTCCACCGAACATTAGAGGTCCAGAGAGATAGATGATTCCAAGTGAGGTGGTTCCGATGGCGGCGATGCCCGAGGAGTGCTCAGAGAATGGGGCGTGCGAAGTATAGTACTCTTGAAAGATGCCGAATGAGGCGGGGAAGCCCCAGACTAGAGACTCGATGATGAAGCAGCCGAATAAACAAAACCAAGCATCGCGACCGCCATCGACAGGTGGAAGAGCAAAAGTCTCGCTCGGGGTGTCTGAGCTGTCGTTGGTCACTTGTGTTGGTTGATCCTGGAGCTGAATGCTCTCTGTGGATTGTTCGTGCGACGCCATGGTCGATGTTCTAAATGAGATGTAACTTGAGAAAAGACCACAACCTTGAACTAAAAGAGCTGAATAGCAAAGCAGGGGCTGTCTGATATCGCGCGTAGCCTGACTTTCGCCACGGTGTAGGTATGCTAACGGCCGAGACAGCTGCACGTGGTAGAATGCATTATTTACTTGAGGGTGATAAGCACGCGCACAGCTCCTCGTATGTGAAAGGTCCTCAATGTTGACTCATCAATTGATGTTGGGCGAGGTCGCGAGGAAGGTGAAGGACCTTGCTGAGCGTAGCCCTAACTTTTCCCCATGATCCAGGGGCTGTGCTTCCGATTCGGTCAAGGCTACATGATCATGATCAAAGCGAGTATCATGATAATCATGACAGACAGCGCCGTTTGTTCGCAACAAATCTCTTCGTGTCAGACACAACAGCAAAAGCGACATCGACAAACAGTTGTTCATGCCAATGCTTTGCGACAAGCTGCAGCATCAGTAACATAGACACACATTGACGACAATGAAAAGATGAAAGATTGAAAAAATAGTAGGAGATTGAAGTTTGCGATACCAAAAAGAAGATTAAATTTCGACCCATCGTGACCCAAGACGCCCAGCTTGCGGACCCATCGTCCGAGAGATTGTAACAGAAACGCCGGCCCATGCATGAATGCCAAAGGTAAAGAGTTCGACCAGACGGAAGGTCGAGATGATCAACAGAGACCAAGGCCTGCACTCTTCGACCAGATCAAACCTCATTGTCGTGGAAGTGGAAAGCGACGTCGCGAGGGCGGAGACGGTTGTTCCTGACAAAGTCGGCATCACCAGGAGGACGCTCATTCTTGGAGTTGCCGGTCAGCATGCTTTGAATGCTCAGACAGACACTCTCGACATTCTGCACCGGCGACCATCCTTGAGAAGCGAGTAGATCCAGACAGATGATACCGTTGGTGTAGATGTGAGGATGCATGGGAATGGGGCGATCCGGATGGCGGATGAAGACAACCTCTGGTGGCTCTNNGAAGGGAATGGTCAGTTGGTAGGCAGACGTTCTGGACAGAAGATGGATACCTATCGGATAGTTTGAGCTGAACTCAAATTTGAGGCGGTAGGTTTGACCTTGGTAGAGTGGGTTTGCGTCCATGATTTGCATATCCATCAGCCATGTCTTGAGGTTGTCTGCTGATACCAGCGTGATGCCGGGAGCCAGTTGTCCTTGGATTTTGAGGAGCTCCTGCATTCCGGTCAAAATACCATCATAAGTCGGCGAAACAAAGTGACCGACCTTCTGGAGTCTCTTGCTGCTCATCATCTTGTCAAAGACGTTTGATAAGATGATAGGTGAGCGAAGTAATCGTGATTGTGGAGCAAAGCCCGAAAGGCGGGAGGGTCGCAGTGAGGAGCAGGTGCACGCTACGCGCAAGGGACTTCAGGTTATTGGCACAGACTGAGTATTGTTTTCCTTCGAGAATCGGTGAAGGAAAAGAGGCGGTAGAATCAAGAAGCGGAAGTGGTTGCGATGCAAGATATATGCGTCTTCACAAGACGCTCGTTCCAAGGCTGAAGAGAAACTACTGCCCGCGTCCGCCATGCTCAGGGTCCATGCATGTGAAAGCGGGAATCAACACAACTACGTCGGGTCACCATAACAGAACACGTCAACTTGGACAAGAAAGAGGCTGTGCAACAGCGGAACATCTCAGGTTTTCACACTACATAAGTCATAGGTCATTGTTCTTAAGGTAATGTAGGTAAAGGTGTCAAAGGGAGGCCATGTTCAACGGCCAGTCAAGGGACTAGTAAGAGTGTCTCCCGCTTCTCCTGCCTCTCTGCCGATTGGGTTCTGCATTGCCCCTCCGACGAGGTTGCCGACTCCTGACTTGATCTCGCTCACCTCCTTCTGATCGGACGCGGGAAGGCTGTTGATTTGGTCNTGTGAGGGGAGGGCAGTGTTAGCGACATGTATGCAGCCACAACAGAGTGAAATAGACATACTCTTGACCATGTACGAGGCCTTGTTCTCGCCCATTGTCTCGAGAGCCTTGTCTTCCATGGCGCGCTTCCACTGTGGAGGGACGCCGAACAGGTACACCGCGCCGACCATCAAGGCAACGACCGCGGCGAGGACTGACAGATATGTGCTGGCGGCCATGTTGTTGTGTGGACTCGATTCTTAGACGGAGCTCTTTGAGTTCTGCTTCTTGCAGTTCGTACCGGAGCTGGTCTGCTTGAGCGATGTGACGACGGTTGACTTCCTAGTCGCTGTTCTGGAGCGCTCTACGGCTGTTGAGGAGGTGCAGTCCTGAGTTGGAGCGTGACCGGATCGGGACTTCGGCTTCTGCAATGGTTGCCGACTTTGACGACCTTGCGGAGTGGTTGTCTTGGGGAGCAAACGCTTGGATGGAAAAGGTGACTCGTTCCTGGACGAAGGGTGCTGGACGAGGAGGTGGAGTGGGAGCTCGCTCTGGAGTCTGCGGTGACGAACGGACACGAAGAGAACGTGCTGACGAACGGGCACGAAGGGACTGTGTCGGCGATAATCGTCTTCGAAAGGGCAGACGATTGAGGGCGGCGTTGAACCAGTGTTGGCAGGTCAGGATGAAAGAATTGGATGAGGATATCGAGGTTTTGCGGACTCGGAGGCCTTTGTCTACAGCCATATAAATAGAGACGATGGGTTTGTTGGTCAGCAGCAAACGTCAGAGATGGGCCGCTCTTGTACCTGTATGACGTCCATCGCAGCTTCCTTGGAACTTGGATTATGCGGCATCAAACCTTCGGGGAAGCGTCCGATCGAGGCTTGTGGGTCGTGTGCCTGGTCCTACCTGCGTCAAGTGCACTCGATTATTGTGAGTTGTTTGATCGTGGTAGGCGCTGGAGGTACACCCATCTCGGCTGCGTGAGGCGGGCAAGCTCTCGAACATGTCAAACCACGCGACAGCTCGAGGCACGACATTGTTGCGTAATCAATGTCAGATACCTAGCCAAGAGAAGAGCAAAGCTGATGCAGCGACATGGGCTAGAGTCCTACCGATTGATAAAGATTGCAATAATGCGTCGTGCTTGGATTGACATGTCTCACAACAAGCACAACGACAAAAGACCCTGACGCTCCACGGAAGCTGGACGCCGAGCTTCACATGTTTCCAGAAGCAACCCCTCCAGGACCAAGACCAACACGAGCTTGATATTGACAATGAGAATACGCAAATTGCTGAGAGGTCCAAGACTCAAGAATAGCAAGCCGATAAATTGATCGGGCGCGGCTTTCCAGTCTCAACTTGAGCTGAAACTCAGCACAGCCTCGAGGACTCCTCTTTCAGCCTCCGAGCTTGCATCCGTCTGCCCCACGCACTGCCACGCCGGGTCCAGCCCGCCGGACGCAGTAAGACTGCACTTACGAGATCTGCGACAGGTTGATTGCTCCCGTACTTCTTTTCTTCCATCCGCCTGTCGAGTTTCCATCGTGTCCTCTGTCTATATACCGTCTGCGACCCGCATTGTGCACATCTCCGCCGTCGTCGCTCAGCTTCCTCTCTCAAACGCAGCGCAGCACCGGCGCTTGACGAAACGCAACCATGAGTTGTAAGTCCTACCCATCGCTCCTTCCCTGCCATGATTGACCATGCCATTTGCATTGTGAGAGCTGTTGCTCTACTACCTCTGTCTCCCACACACACTCCCGAGTCTCTCAACCTGACATTTATCACCTTCTCCCTACAATCCCCGCTCCAAGCATTCCACTAATCCAGCCGCCGGTATAGTCACCAGCATGCTCAACAAACTCCACGGCCAGCCCGACAGCTACGACAAGAAGTTCGTCCAACAACACACCCCCTGCAGCACTCCCACTGATGTCGCAACCACAGAGNCCAAGTACAAGTTTGGCAAGACGCTCGGAGCTGGCACCTACGGCATCGTCAGAGAAGCAGAGTCGCCTCAAGGAAAATGCGCCGTCAAGATCATCCTGAAGAAGAACGTCAAAGGCAACGACCAGATGGTCTACGACGAACTGCAGATGCTCCAGCGCCTCCAACACCCCCACATTGTCAAGTTCTTTGATTGGTTCGAGTCAAGAGTGAGACACACAAGAGATGGCACATTCAACAGCAGAGGCTGACTGAGCAACGCAGNNGACAAGTACTATATCGTGACGCAGCTTGCAACTGGTGGAGAGCTGTTCGACCGCATCTGCGAAAAGGGCCGCTTCACCGAAAAGGACGCTTCTGCAACCATAAGACAGGTCCTGGAAGCCGTCGACTACCTCCACCAGAACGACGTCGTCCATCGCGGTCAGTGCAAGACATGGCTCCGGCTCCCTTCTCATGCTGACCATCTTGTACAGNATCTCAAGCCCGAGAACCTCCTATACCTCACCAAGGCCGAAGACTCGACTCTGGTCCTCGCCGACTTTGGCATTGCCAAACATCTCGACAGCCCCGACGGCGTTCTCAAGACCATGGCCGGCTCCTTCGGCTACGCAGCACCGGAAGTCATGCTCAAGAAGGGACATAGCAAGCCTGTCGACATGTGGTCCCTTGGTGTCATCACCTACACTCTTCTCTGCGGTTACTCGCCTTTCCGCAGCGAGAACCTGACCGACTTGATTGAAGAGACCAAGCACGGAAGAGTCGTCTTTCACGAACGCTACTGGAAGGACGTCAGCAAGGAGGCCAAGGACTTCATCATGACTCTGCTGGTGCCCAAGCCCGAGAACAGAGCCACGAGTTCGGTACGTTTGGGAGCATCCCCTCGTCTGTGGGAGAAAGCTGACACGCGCAACAGCNAAGCACTCAAGAATGCATGGATCGCCGGCAAGGGCGCAACCGACCACAACTTGCTGCCCGAGATCAAGGCATACATGGCCAAGGCCCGCCTGAAGCGCGGCATCGAACTGGTCAAACTTGCCAATCGTATCGAGGCACTCAAGATGCAAGAAGACGAAGAGGAGGATGTACCGCAGTCCGGAGATGTGCCTGCCGGCGCAAAGGAGGCGGCAGGTGAGGCATTGGCACATCAGGAGCAGAAGCCACTGGAAGCCGGCCTCAAAGTACCAGAAGACAAGGGAGTGACACACAAGCGCAGTCTGAGCAAGCTCGCCAAGGGAGCCATCTTCCGCGAGGTCGTTCTGGCCAAAGTGCGCGAGATGAAGGCTGACGAGGAAGCACAAAAGATTACGTCGACGGGCAGTTTCGAGAAGGAGAAGGAGAGCAAGTAGAGGGTTGACAATGGCTTTCAGCGTGTGATGTATTCTCTATTCGGCATGGCGTTTGGGATTACGGGAAAGGAGAGCAGCGGCTGCTACTTGTCAGGCATTGTTTGCCTACATGCACAAGAGATAATCCTAAGACTTTTACTCGAGAATGGATGGGTTACTTTGATACGTGGTTCTTCGGAGAAGCAGTCTGTGACCTGGATTGCCTGCAATGTTTAAGATGATGGTGGTTGACAGCAAAAGACGGATGTTCCGAGTCGAGGATGAAGCTTCCTGACAGGGCGGGTTCGCAAACATCCCCAACTCGAGATGCGCAAGCGTTGAAGGATGATAGCTATCAAAACAGCCAAGCTCACAACAACCAGGCAGTCAGAACAATGGCAGAGCAAGGGAGATATCATTGTAGAGCTTTGGACAATAGATTCCTCAAGCAATCACGTGTGAGGTGGCCCGTGCAGATGGCCGGCTTGACTGGTGGAAGAGTGCCCTGGGAACGCGCGACGCGCAAGTGCAAGAGAGAGCAAATCGGCAGGCACGACCAACCAGCGCAACCATCGTCTGAAGGAACTGGCAAGCGTCGTGCAGTGCAGCTGGAAATCACGCGACAACAGAGACACCCAAACCATGGACCGCAGCCGCAAGCGCAAACTGCCCGATGCCGCGTCGCCCAAAGTCGAGGGTAGCGCAAGCAAGCGCCAAAAGACCAAGCTGGTGAGTGCACGTTGATGCTATGAAAATTGGAAGGTCGAGGTGCGGTTTGCAGACTTGCGGCGGAGCTTCTGCACTTCCCCAAGCGCAAGCACAAGCACAAGCACCGTCATGCTGCCCGGCCGCTACCACTGCCTGCGACCGTCGACAACGCGAACGCTTGGACTTTCCGCTGGACCACCGAGACCACCAAGGCTGACAACTCGCTCCTCCAGGAACACGAGACTCCACAGACAACAAGCACCATCGGCCTGCAGTTCATCGACCACCTCAAGTCGGCCAAAGACAAGACGTGAGCAGCCCTCAACACCATCCAGCACATGCGCCCTGGCCGAGTCTAACCCCGTCGCAGTGGCCGCTTGATCGCCGACCTGTTCATCGACCTGCCCAGCAAGGTAGCCTCACTTGGACTTCCTGATTCCAAGACATACGCTGACACGCGCACTGCAGNNAGAGAGCTGCCCGACTACTATCGCACAATCAAACTCCCTATCGCCATCCAGACCGTCCAGGTTCGACGCCCCCTCTGCCACACTCCGCAGCCGCACCTCTGACACAGCTCTGNNCAGGACAAACTCGAGCGCCATGAATACCCCACCCTCAGCTCCGTCGAGAGCGACATCAAGCGCATGGTCGCCAACGCAAAGCAGTACAACGACGACAAGTCAACCGTCTACCAAGATGCCGAGCGCATTCGCAAGGCCCTATCCAACTTCATGACCAAGCACAACCCCGCCTACAAGGACCCCAACTACGTCGCCATACCCACTCCCATCCTCGGCCACGACGACGATGCCACTGCTTCGTCTGCCCCTCCGACCCGTGAACCCAGCGAGCAACCCAAGAAGATCACAATCTCCCTCAAGGCCAGCCGCGACCGCAAGTCCTCTGCTGCTCCGCCCGCCGCCTCGAGCCCTGCTGTCGTCGCAGACGACTCGGACCCGGCAGACTTTACTGGAAAGACCTTCCAACAAGCCCAAGAGCACATCATCAACGGCCTGATCAGCTATACCGATCAAGNNGGCAAGTCGCATGCACATAACTCCGACGGACACCGCTAACACGACTGCAGGATCGAGATCTTCCAGCCCTTCGTCACCCTACCGCCTCGAACCTTGACCGACTACTACAACATCATCAAGAAGCCCATGTCGCTCACCGCCGTGCGTAAGAGAGTGCGAGGACAACATGGCCGTGGACCAGCAACATCGCAAACCGACTTCAAGACGTGGGATGCTTTCGAAGAGGAGGTCTCATACATCTGGCGTAATGCAAGGGACTACAACGAGGACGGAAGCGACATCTTCAACTTGTCAGTGGAGCTCGAGGACCTCTTCAAGGAACGTCTGGCCACTGCAAAGACTCAAGTCGACGAGCCTACACAACCAAAGATCAAGCTCAGCGCTCCGAGACCAAAGCCCGTACTACATCTTGGTGCACGAGGATCGCCAGGCCCAAGAGGTACTCCCGCCGGAGACAAAAGGGAGGAACCGGTCGCCAATGGGACACCGGCCGCTGTACATACGAGACCCGGAAGCACCGCTGCACCGTCACGATCAACCTCGCAGGTACCGATGACGGCAAAGGCAACAAGTGGCACAGCATCAAGCCCCGTCGCAACAGCGACAGCGGTCAAGACGGAGAAACCTGTCGCTGCTTCTCCCTCGCTCGCTTCGGTCCGCCCGCAAAGCATTGCTCCAGACGCCAAACAGAGCCCGAGACCAGGCACAGCCAACTCGATGCTCCCACCACCCTCTGTCCGTGGCATCAGCGGCAGTCCGCATCCTTCCATGTTGCCCTACGTCCCTCACGTTCCACAATACGTGCCGCCGCCGCCGCCCACCTTCAGCGACAAGTACGCTCGCTCGAAGCCCGTCTCTGAGGCTCTCTTGCCGAGTCTTGCCATTACAACACATCCCCAGCTCGGCCAACCCAAACCCTTCCGCCTCGATATTCCTGCATCCAAGCAGTACACCCAGCAGTCTCTCACCATGTCCATTCCTGGCGCCCATTACTACGTCAGCATAATTCCAACCGTCTCGCAGCGTCTCTTGATGCAACGACAATACAAATTGTTCGTCACTGTCAATGGTGTTCGTCTTATGGGCACTACGCGCGACTTCGTGGTTGGAGGAAGCGCTGAAAGAAAGCAAGTCTACGACACAGCTCTCAATGCTGGTGTCAACAGGATCGAGGTTGAAGTCGTCGCCGTCTCTAACAGAAGTGGCGCTCTCGAGGTGGAAAAGTTGCTAGTGTTTGCCAACCTATTGAAGTAGGACACAATAGAGGAGGAGGTTTTTGGCAAGTATTATCGTCTGATGGGCGGGTACGGCGTTTCGTAAGGATTTGTCACAGCATGGTATCGGTTTCTGGTGTTCTTTCTCTTTTCCTGGCAGGTATACCTCTCTGTCCTTTCACCGTTCTTTTCTTGCGTTCGTGGCAGAGGTTTGTTTCCACTGCGGCATTTCAAACCAATTCAGGCTTTCGCTTCACATACCATGTTGCGGGTCATCTCGCTTCTGCACACTCATCTAGGCAAGCCTTATACCATGCCCTAACGCTGCACTTAGGGCTCGGCTCACCACATGACTGCCGAGAGGTGGTTTTTGTGGGGAATCAGGCAGTGCTCGGCCGAAATGTGGGGATGATTTGCGGGGATGTCATTGCGGAAATTGTAAGATGCTCTTCTCCTTCCTGTTTCATGCACGTTTGTGTCAATTAAAGGAGCGGGCTATACTGTGGGGATGATGGCCTACGACCGGTATGAGCAGGAAACAGACTGCCGCTCCACGTGTCTCGAGATCCCGGCGAGAGGGGTTTGAACGAGATGGCCCAGAAGCATCTTTTGTTCTCACAATCTATCGCGACAGACAGAAGCATGGTCTCTTGTGTTGGCAGATATAGAAGCCGGTTCCCAAGCCTGCCGCTTCTTTCTCCCATACACATTTGCCAATCGCAACGATGAAACTCACATATCTCATTCCAGCATTGACTGCATTGGTCTCTCTCTGCAATGCTGCCGCTACTACCAAAGCCGTCTCGGCGTCCGTCTCTNTTGACAACAACAGAAGATTCCTGTTCGACACGGATGGGAGACAGATTGATGCCTATGGCTCCAAAGTCAACAACTTCAACGGCAAATACTATCTCTACGGCAACTCGTTCTCGGAGACTGGGGTCGCGTATGGCATCAAATCGTACTCTTCTGTCGATCTCGTGAACTGGTGAGTCCTCTTGGAAATTATCTCGAGAGAAGTTGCTCATCATGTCATATAATGCATAGGCNAGTATGAAGGTTTCCTTTTCGACCCTGCAGGCAAGAACAGTCCTTGTGCTGCGTCTGGCGGCTGTGGCCGTCCTCACATCGTGTATAATGCCAACACCAAGAGCTATGTACTCTGGGCCAATGCTGGAGATCCCGGATATGTTGTCGCGACATCGAGCTCGCCCACTGGACCGTTTGTCTTCTCTGCGGCGAGAGCACTTCTCGATCCTGCTTTCGACGGCCTGCAACCGGCCGACTTTACCGTCGAAGTCATCGATGGGATTGGCTATATCGTCTTTTCCGCGCTGAACTTCAGGAGCCCGAATGCTGGAAATGTGTGGCCTCCTATCTTCCAGAATATGCATGTCAGTAAGTTGACTGCTGATTTCATGAACACGACTAGGGTCAGCTACCCCGTGAGCTCTAGTGCGGGCGACTTGATCGACAATGAGGCAGAGTCGCCGGATATCTTCAAGCATGGAAATAACTACTATGTTGCCGCTTCCAACACGTGTGGGTACTGCAATGGATCTATTGCGTTGCTGTATCGCTCAAGCTCGATCCAAGGACCATGGACTCGTCAGATCCTGGAAGGATACTCCTGCAATGGTCAAGTCGAAGGCGTGCTTCCATTGACAAACCCTGCAAACGGCGCAGTGACCAATGTCTGGCACTCGACTAGTGTCCCCGGAGGTCCTCGCACAGGATTTGGTGGCCACATCTTCCAGCCCTTGACGTTCAATGCCGATGGCAGCGCGAAGAATCTCGACTGCTCGACAACCGCGACTTTCCCCGTCACCTTCACCAAAGGCAATGGCACACTGGCAGCAGGCAATGCTACCAAAGCTGCAGACACTACACCCGCACTCGCCGTGTACAGTCCAGTCTGCGACTCTGACTCGTTCATCCTATACCAAACCTGGACGGCANGCAAGAGCGGCACACTCAAGAGTGTGTCTTTGAACGTCGCCCGGGGCTCCCAGACCGTACCTCTTTCCCTCACCGTTTTCAAACTTTCCTCGCTCAACGATCTTTTCACACCCGAGTACAAGTGGACAGCTCTGGGGACTGCGGCCTTCAATGCCAATCAGACAAACTACACTTTCGACACCGTCACCGTGCCCGTAACCACCAATGCTACAGTCACCAAGGGCGAATTGTTGGGTTTGTCCATCTCGGGTGCTGACTACTCGCCTTGGTGCCATTTAGAGTATCAGACGACGGGAGACTGCGGATTCAAGTTGTACCAGCAGGGCAACGGACAGTACTCGTGGCGTGGGCTGCAGGGCAAGAATGCGCCCGTATATGAGAGACAGGGCAAGAGCATCAAGTTTTTCGCAACGTATGCCTGAGCATGAACAGGCTGGACACTCGTCGGCAGAATTCCGCAATCAAATGGTACTGATTATTATGTCGAGCTCGAAGGATGGAGATGATCATGAGTAAAGTCGATGGAGAGCATAGGTGATTACCAATCCTCGGTGCGAAGGAGAAGCCGACGCGGCGCGTTCTCTCCGAAAACAGTCGAGTCTCATCAAATCCTCTTTCTTTCCGAATAAACTTGGCAACGTGTTTCTGCTGTTTGGTTCTGCTCGCTGGTTCCTTTGCCTTAGGAATTGTGTCAAGGGTCATTGAGCTGACTATGATCGGAGGATCGACTATAAGCAGCTCCGGGAGCGCGCCATTGGACTGGTAAGCCGGGCGCCTATCGGTATGCCGAGCGATTGTTGTCGCGACAGAGAGAGTTTCAGCCTACGGACTTTTCTTCATCGTGGTGCATGAATAAATAGATGAGTCTCCCCAGGCAAGTTTCCGTTTTTCGTTGTTCTCGCTCTCACAAACCTCTCACCTTGCTCGACTTACTCACCCGTCCTTGCACCAACGAGCGGAATCTCTTTCACCACCAAAACCACTCCCTCCACAGCGCTTCTCATCTCGCCCACCATGGCGCACGTTGTCATCATCGGCGGCTCGTACGCAGGAACAAAAGTCGCACATCAGGTCCTCAGGCAGGTTCCCGACTCGAAAGTCACCCTCATCGACCCCTCAGATGTCTTTTACTACAACATTGCCGCGCCGCGCATCATCGCCAAGCCAAAGGAAGCCAAAGTCGAGCAATACCTCATCCCCATCATGGACAAGTTCAAGCAGTACCCCGCCACCAGATTCACCCTTGTCCAAGGCTACGCCGAGTCCGTCGACACTGCCGCAAAGATTGTGCGCGTGAAGGACGGAAAAGACGTTTCGTACGATTACCTGGTCGTTGCTTCGGGCTCGACAACGCCAGGAACCGTCGGCGAGGAAGCCATCCCCTTCAAGACCACCGGAGCAGACATCAAGCAANAAGTCGAAGCCGCACAACAGCGAGTCGCAGCCGCCGACAGCATCATCATCATCGGCGCCGGCCCCGTAGGCGTCGAAAGCGCCGGCGAAATCGCCCAAGCCTACCCCAACACAAAAGTCACCCTCATCTCTTCACACGCACAGGTGCTGCCCAACCTCAAGGCCTCGGCCGCCAAATCCGCACACGCCAGTCTCGCAAACCTGGGTGTGGAGATGGTTTACTCTGCCCGCGTCACCGATACAAAGCAAGAGAATGGGAGGTTTACCGTGCAGCTCGACAATGGCAAGACTCTTACCGCTGCCCTGGTCATCTCGGCAGCAGGCAACATTGCAAATACCTCCTTCATGCCCCGCGACGCTTTGGATCAAGATGGCTGGATCAAAGTCGACAGAAACATGCGTGTCTCTTCCATCACCGACAACTCTGTCTACGCCCTCGGCGACGCGACAATGTACAAGCAGCGCTACTATCTCAAGGTCAATGATCAGATCCACGTTGTAGCCAACAACATCAAGAATGCCGTCACCTCCTCTGGACAACTCAAGACGTACGACGCTAGCGATAAGTTGATGGTCTTTGTGCCCATTGGAAGCAAAACTGGCACTGGACAGATAGGCAGCTTTGTGCCCTTTAGCTTCATGGTTGCATTTGTCAAGGGCAAGGATTACTTTATGAGCAAGGCTGCTACTATGATTGCCGCTTGATTTCTTGCGGTGCTCGAGGTGTGTGGCGAATATTGTTCTTGCTCTGTTTTGCTCATAGCGTAGTGATATCCAGTCTTCCCAAACGTATCATATAATTTTCTTTTCCAAGCACGCCACATCTTCAAACTGTCTGCGCATACTCTCACTTCTTACTATGGGACCATAGCCATGTCGTACCTGAAGAAAGCTTTTGTCACTTACGCAACGACGTTCGAGCCATAAAGACCAGGGGCCCACTCACACCATGGCTTGACAGTTTACTGCCTTCGCACTCCCTCTCGGGATCGAACGTGATTGACTCCACTCGGGTTTTTACGACCTGGTTCTGGCGTTTCTGGTCTATGGTTTCAGTATAGGCTTCTAAGCGTAATACATCTTGATGGACAACTCGACAGGTATGCAGGACATCTTCCAGTTGTGAGGACGCGTCATTGCGTATGGCTGATGACTACTACAGAATGCATGAACTGTTCGATCAATGAAAAACGAGTGTCCGGCACTCTTGCACCTAGATTCCATGGCGATCAAATCAAAAGGATATTGGTAAAGACTGTGACTTCGAAAAGGAACCATCATCTCATCTCCACTGCTTTGCTCAATGAACAACGGTACCACTGTACTGACTGCAAGAAACCTGCACCGCAGTACCAACAGCCAACCCAACACCCGAGTTGCCAAACAAAGCAGTATTGGCACCACTGTTGATGCACAAGTCAAAGTTGACATTGGCGCCGTACTGATTGGTGCCGCCGAGTCCGTTTTGACTGCACAGAGGGTTGCCAGATGCAGGGCACAGATTGGTCACTTGGACGACGATGCTGTTGCCGGCGTTGGAGAGTTTGTTGCCGCTGCTGTCGGTTTGGGCGGTCAGTTTCCAGCAGGTTCCGCACGCGGGTCCTGCGCCGGCGCCGGGGCCGACCCCAAAGGCATTTTGCGAGAGGGCGGCTGAGTAGCCTGGNCTGTGGTGGAGAGTCAGCGATTGGGGTACGGAGAGAGGAAGGTATGATATGGAAGTAAGACTTACGCTGGTGTAGAAGCCACAAGCAGTGGTATCAGTATTGCAGTTTCCACTGCCGAAAGTGTCGCCGCTACCGTACTGGGTGAACGAAGCCTTGTAGGTTGTACCACTACCACTGCCTCCACTACCACCACCACCAGCAGCTTTCGAGCTCGAGACGGGTGCGACAGAAGTCTTGGACGAAGAAACGGGTTTGGCGGAGTTGGATGCTGGCAGGCATTGAGAGTAGTATGCATTGCTAACTACACATGTGTAGCCGGCAACGCAAGTGGTTCCGCCAGTGAACCCTTGGCCTCCACATTGAGCGTATGCTGCTTGAGCTGCTTGGGCGGAAGAGCCAAAGGCGGCGGCAGTAAGAACAAGGGTCTTGAGAAGCATGGTGGGGGATAGTGAATCGAGTTCTTGATCTTGAGGTTGATTGTGCGGATGGAAAGCCAGAGAAAAAGCGTACTTGCCTGGTGCTTATATAGCATCTCCAGATACTCGTACGCGCCCTCAGTACCCCCAAACCCTCTAGAAAGCCACACTAGACGGGCCGTCGTCCCATCAATGCGATCCTGGCGATGCGATCCATATTGCCCTCATCAAGCCTTGTTCTTACCCCTGTTACGCCATCACATCTGCAGATATTAGGAAGCAGCTCAAGGACGTATCCCTTTTGCAAACCATGGTTAAACTCAAGTACTCCACAAGCAAAGAGGAGATCGACAATCTGCGCCATATGTCGTTTATCCGCCAGTCTCTTATTGCTCGAGATGCCAAACAGGTCGTGGCTTGCATCGAAACCTCCATCGCTAAAGCTTGTATGACTTTGACTCGGCCAAAAAGGCTTGTCTGATGTGACAGCTGCATGGAAATCATGTCATGGGTTCATCAAATACGCGTGGTAGAATCGACTTCTTGTTATTGCCTTGGAAGTTCATTGTCCTCGCTCGACGACGACATTCACTGGCTTTTGGTCCAGGTGATCCTCTGCAATATAAGTTACTAGTGTACAACGGGGATTCTCCCCATCCTCGGTCATGGTGGTACGCTACTGCTGCTCGACGCTCCAGGTGACGGCTAGACGGGCCGCGCCATCATCGGCTGGTAAATGGGATAGTATGTTTCAAGTTGAGTGTAAACAGCTAAGCGATGGACGGCCTGGACAGAGGCGAACAACGTTCGAGCTCCTGGACACATGGGCAAAGGCATGGCGGCGCCAAGGGCGTGCAAGTCAGTCGTTAGCCGTCATGATGATGGTAATGCGAACGGGCCCGCGGAAAAGAAATGGAAGGTGCAAAGCGGTGGATGAAAAGGTGAGCGGGCCACCCTGTTTGCTGACTCAGCAAGAGCTGCAGAACTCATCTCATCAAGTTCTGTTCATCTTTCCATCCACAGAACACAATCGCAATGAGCTTCGAGCGCACTTGTGGGAAAATCCCAAGAATGATCACAAGATTAAAGCACTCATGACGGTCGTTCTCGCATTCTTCTGAGCAAATGCATATGCACGAAGAATCACAGTCAAAATTCGATGAATCTGGGAAATAAATTCGAGATGGACAATTTTGGGAGATGATAGTATGATTGTATAAGTTGTTGCTAACATGAATCGTAAATGCTCGTAAACTATGCCCCCTGGTGAGATGTCTCCAGGTACTCGACCTGCTGGTTCTTTTCTGCCACACCATCCTTCTCGTTCTCGAAGAGGGTAGGCGAAACAGCAACCTTACTGCCGTATCTTCCGACTTTGTACCAAGGCAGCTCGAAGATAGCGTCCAGACTCTCCAAAGAACGGCCACTGGTCTCAGGCAGGAAGAACCAGACCCAGACCAGACCCAACAGCGTGATGGCGGAGAAGAAGTACATGGTGCCGGCGGTGGTCATGCCAACAAACATTTCGGGTACAGCCTTTGAGTTACCGTATTGGTTGACAAAGTGGAATGCCATGGCGATGGAACCACCGATAGCACGCAGACGAAGAGGGAAGATCTCGGCGTTGATGAGATATTGGATCGAGTTCCAACCNTGGGTAAACGTTGTTAGTGGTGGCACAGAAAGAAGTGGACACAGGAACTTACCCATTGCCCAACCGAATCCAGAGAAGTAGATCATGACAATAGCACCCTTGGCGGCATGCTTTTGACTGGAGGTCTGAACGTTGCCCTTGTCTCCAATGGTGTTGTCAATAGACAGGAAGAGTGCCATGTACAACATAGCAATGAACTGAATGGTGATGCCGATGCTTAGCGAACGCTTGCGACCGATGAAGTCGACGAGGAAGAAGGCACAGATGATTGCACTGATGAACTTGACAAGACCAAAGATTCCAGTAGCAAGAAGCTTTTCTGTGGTACCAGTCGTACCCATGAGAGCAAAGTATTGAGGGGCGTAAACGGTGATTGATCCAGCACCACTCCACTGACCAAGCAATTGAGCGCCGATGGCCAAGAAGATGCGGAATCTGTTTGAGGGCATGACAAACAGCTCACGAAGGAGTCCGACCTTGGAGGCACCCATTGTGGCTTCCTGCTCACGCTCGAGTTGCATGTTGATGTCGATGATCTCTCCTTGGACGAGCTCGTGTTCCTGTCCGAGACCACGAATTTTGCAGAGGTTCTCAACAGCCTTTGCCTGTTGCTTGGTCTTGACGAGCCAGCGAGGACTTTCAATGGCGAAGAAGCTGAGGGTGAAGATGATCGCGGCAAAGTAAAGGTGGAGTGTGTTGGGAATGACCCATTGGAGGGAGTCGTGGTTGCTGATGTGCAATGAAGTGCCGTATGAAGCAAAGTATCCGAGCATAATACCCAGGTAGACTGAACCAGAGAAGATACCGACACACAGTCCACGAATCGACTTGGGGGCCACTTCTGCGAGGTATGTCGGAGCCACGACTGTGGTCTGTCCGATACCCAGTCCAGCGATGAATCTACCAGCGTAAACCATTGACAGATTGCCATGGGCGGCAGCACCAAGGAAGATGGAGATACCAGTGACCCAGACGAGGCATAATTCTCGGACAGCCCAGATTCTGCCAATGCGGTCGGTGATGGGGAAGGCGAAGAGAGCACCGAATATTGATCCAAGCTGGACCATGGAGGTGATGTTGGAGAGAAGGTTGGCTTGCTCATTGGCAGTCAAGTGAGGGTTCTTCAATCCGAATTGTGTACTAAAGGACTTTTGGGAGGCAGTGGTTCCGATGAGACCTTCGTCGAGGCCACGGGCAGTGCCCAGCAAACCAAAAACTGAACAAGCGTTAGCCACGAGACTTGGAAGGCGGAGTCAAGCAAGATCAAGCATACCAAGCACGGCATAGCCAAGACGCCAGTTGAGAACCTCTTCAGGTAAATCCTTGGCGTATCGTTTGAACATCGTTGCAAGTGATGATGTTTTGGTCGCTGTGCAGAGAGGAAGGGAATGGAAGAGAAAGCAGGAAACAGCAGGGCGCGAGGAATTAATAAAGATACGAGTGCCCGTCTGACCCCTCTCGTACTCTACACCCCGTGGGATTCAGCGTACCCCAGCAATCGACCAGTGGAGCATTTGTGGAGTCGCTAGTCGAACCAAGTGTTGAGACGGAGTTCGGTTCGTCCGTAATGGGAAGATGATCGGCAGACCGGCACTCCACGAGGTTTGAATCGATTCCGCGAGGTGACATGTGTCGGGGCCTCTTGCGATGGCGCATCTTCTCCAGGAGAAAATACCGTGATCGAATGGTACACGACCACCGCCGCAAGCGATTGCTCGTTTCTTGTCTAATACAAGAGAAGAGGTATCAAGTTCTGATGCTGAATGCCTGCCATCGAGGTTGGAACTTGGCTCGGGTTGAGCACAAGGCCAAGAACGCCTGGAAAATTGGCTCTAAACTGTGGCTGAAAACGCTTTTTTCCTCTGGAAATAACGAGACGAAGGGATGGAAGTCAACCAACTTGTCGCAGGCTCACAGCATTCCGACCAGAACGCAAAGACGGACTGATCTTTGGTCGACTTGCGAAAGGCTTTTCCGTTCAGATCGACAACTCTTTGTTGTTGTCATATCACCCCATGAAGAGTCCGATGATGATATGGTCAGGCAGCCGCAGAGAAGACCGCCCCGAGTACGGGATGCCGGACCGGAAGACGAGGATCGTGTACGGTGTATGCACAATCTCGGAAGCCAAGGCCGATGACCGGGTAGACATTATCCGCATAGACGTGGTTTTCGGAGCCGACCGACTGGACGATATAAGGCAAACATTCTGGGCGCATTTGTGGGCATGCACGAGGGGTAAGAATACATCACAACTGATGCACAATAAGATGGGCACTTGATGAATGTAGATACGGACATGATGACGAGAGGCAGAAAATTGTGATTGCAGACTCAAATGAAGCCCTCAAGGCGGCTCAAGGTGGTGGACAGCCGAGGCGGTGTGCTCGAGTTTTCCGCCCCAGGCTTGACGACCGAGGGAAGCGCGACTGGCCACAAAACTTGACTCTACATGCGCGACTTCCCGACCTCCTTAGGGCACGAAGCTCGACTTGTGGAGTTCGTCGCTGACTGCATACCCCGCGGCATGGATCTAGAGAGTTATTCCCCATGGATATGACCGTTGCGATAAAGGTTGGATGGAGAAAGGAGGAGGTCAGTGCTTCAGAAACACGAGTCCAAAGCTTGAACGAATGGTTTCGCACTTTTCTTGCATGTCTACGCACAGTGGTGTCAGTCCCGTCCTGTATCGACACAAGCACGTCTGTTTGGAGTCAACACAGGTGATCAGTCTCAGCGTCTTCCGACGAACATCATGCGCGCCGCACACTCCATGTCGAGCAGTGTTTCATCGACGCGAAGGTCCATCGACTCAAACCATGTGTGATCGCGTGGCACTCGTTGCGAGTGGCGCTCAGACCGCGCCCCTGCCGTCGCTAGAAACTGCAAATGGTGAAAAACTTTGTGTACTCCAACCCGGTAACCGCCGACCAGAGTCTCAAAAGCGTTCACGAAGGAAGGATCAAAGCTAAAACTCACCACACATGGTGTTTAGGACGCCTTCAGAAGCATTGGATCGACGGTGTCATGCTGGTCTGAAGTTCCAATAATGCCGACATTGAGCAACGCCCCAATCTCGGACAGACCTGCATTCTTCATCCAGACCGAGCACGTACGAACTCGAGCAACAGCACGGGAACGCGAGTCATCGGACGCCGAACCAGTCTTGCAACGGCGCCGGCGAGGTGGCGTACTGTTTCCCCGCCTAACTAGAGTACACTCGGCCTCCCCGAATGCAATACAAGTTTTTCTGGGGACTCTCCACGATACAAAGTGGGTTATACCATGCCGAAACCAAAAGCATCGGCCGAAAAGTAGGGCCGACTGAAATCTTTGGTCTTGCCGAATGTTGAAGTGTGTCAACAGTGACCCGCTACGCGTGCTGGGCAATGTCACCCTGCTGAGAGCGATATAAAGAAATTGGAGCCACCGAGGTTGTATTGAACCAGTCACACGACCCGCAGGATGTCCCGCGGGGCCCCATGGAAAATTCAAAGGTAAGAATCATGTTCTGCTCGCTGGTTGCTGGGGTTGTGTGAGGAAACCGTACGCTATAAATCGTCCTTTATTCTCGCCAGTTTGCAGATCGAACACATCATCTCTTTCTCGACAACCTTCGTCATCATGGCTCACCACGAAGACATCAGTTCTGATCCCCAGCACGACCGCTTCAATGTCGCTGATGAGAAGCGTCAAGCTAGAGTCGCAGAGCTTACCGATAATGTCACTGGAGAGTATGTCAAGAGCCGTCCCACTTGGCAAACATCACTAACCTCCGAAGAANTTCGCAACCCTCTCGTCGGTGTGCCTCGCGATACCCTGATGAGATCCGTAGAGAAGTTTGCAGCCGACAACGATCTAAACGACATCTTGCCTCTTCTCAAGAAAGGCGCTCTGGCTGCCCAAAACCCTGCCGAAGTAGCCACTATGGATGACTTTACGGACGAAGAGAAAGAGATCTTTCGAGAGGAAATCACTCACAAATGGCGCCAGCCAAAGATTCTTTACGTTACCATCATCCTCAACTCAGTTGCCGGTATGTACGAGGACTTTACTGGTTCTTGATCATCCACTGATTTCGAGATAGCTGCCATTCAGGGATGGGACCAGACTGGATCTAACGGAGCCAACTTGTCCTTCCCCCAAGCATTCGGTATTCCTGAAAGTGGCGCGGTTTGCGAAGCCGCTGGTAACTGCTCAAGGAACCAATGGCTTGTCGGTTTCATCAACTCCTGTCCCTACCTCGCCATCTTCCTCTTTGCTGGCTGGATCTCCGATCCTCTCAACCATTGGCTTGGTCGTCGTGGTGTCGTTTTCATTGCTGCTATCTTCTCTCTTCTCTCTCCTATCGGCATGGCTATCACTCAGAACTGGCAACAACTTGTCGTCTGCCGTATCCTGCTTGGTATCGGTATGGGCTTGAAGGAGGTCACTGTGCCGGTCTTTTCCGCTGAGGTCGCACCAACGAAGATCAGAGGTGGTCTGGTCATGTCATGGCAGATTTGGACTGCATTCGGTATTCTTCTTGGAACATCTGCCAACCTTGCCGTGAAGGATGTTGGCGATATCGCATGGCGTCTGCAACTCGGATCGGCATTCATTCCTGCTGTTCCTCTCGTTCTCGGTATCTGGTTCGTCCCCGAGTCACCCAGATGGCTCATGTCCAAGAAGAAGTATGGCAAGGCCTACCAGTCGCTGCTCCGCTTCCGTGGCAAGCCTATCCTCGCCGCAAGAGAGTTGATCTATATCTATGCGCAGATGGAGCAGGAAGTCATGCTCATTGAACAGTCTGGACTCCCTGCCAATGCTGGCTTCTTCACTCGCTTCGTCGAACTCTTTACCATACCCCGTCTGCGTCGTGCAGTTCAAGCTTCTGGTATTGTCATGATTGGCCAGCAGATGTGCGGCATCAACATCATCGCCTTCTACTCGTCCAGTATCTTTGCGCAAGCTGGAGCGACTGTCACTGGTGCCCTTCTCGCCTCCTGGGGCTTCGGTATCATCAACTTCATCTTTGCCTGGCCGGCTGTATGGACGATCGATACATATGGTCGTCGCGCACTTCTTCTCTTTACTTTCCCCAATATGTGTTGGACATTGTTGGCAGCTGGTCTTTGCTTCTTGATTCCTACATCTTCCGCTGCTCATCTGGGTCTTATTGCCCTCTTCATCTACCTGTTCGACGCCTTCTACTCTCCTGGTGAGGGCCCTGTTCCATTCACTTACTCCGCCGAGGTCTTCCCTCTGTCGCACCGTGAGGTCGGTATGTCTTGGGCTGTCGCCACAAACAACTTCTGGGCCACCGTTGTCTCTCTCACCTTCCCTCGTCAGCTCCGCGCTTTCGGCACCACTGGAGCCTTTGGTTTCTACGCTGCTATGAATGCACTCGCTTGCGCCATGATCTTCCTCTGGCTTCCCGAGACCAAGCAGCGTTCTCTTGAGGAGCTGGACTACGTCTTCGCAGTCCCCACTCGCACGCACATGAGCTATCAGTTGTTCAAGGTCTTGCCGTACTGGTTCAAGACCACCATCTTGCGTCAGAAGGATCTTCCTGAGCCCAAGCTGTACCACTTCCAAAGCGACTCGACTGTACTGGAGATGGAGAACATGAAGGCTTGATCAAACATACCAGTCGAAAGAGTCCATGGTTGTATTCAATTGGTTCTGTAGTTGTTTGTAATGAATAAAAGCTCAATTTCTTTTCTTATTCTTGACCTCTGGCAAGACTAAGTAGTGGATCGCTACTGATGGCCCTGATGTCTGCGTGTACTACCTTCTCTCTAGTCGCTCTCAACTTTCCCAAGATGTGGCCTTCCACGGTCTGCACAGATGCATCCACTTACTTGGATCCGATAGGCAAAGGTGAGAAGGTGCAAGCCGTACAGTAGCTGCCAGATCAAAGACTTCGGAGCCGTATTCCCATTGTAGAAGAAAGGGGCACTGTAGCGATCCGTTGACTCACGGTTGATGACACAGTGAACAGCACTACGATAGTGACCATTTGTCCCTTTGCGATGACCAGTCTGACAAGCTTTGGCTGTACGTACGATTCATTGATGAACTTACAGAGGTTCGGTAGATCGCCGATATTGACCACAAGATGATCTTCGACGGCGAGAACAGGTATCCAGCAAGAGGTCTGCGGGTGCCAGACTTCCAGTCCAGGAGCACCGGGTTGCTGAAGTAGAGAGGTTATGCCTGGATCGTATCAGTCTGAGGACATCCGTAGAGTTGTGAACATCATTACCTCCAAAATCGGTATGCGCACCGGCACCTAGTTGTCTCTCATCAAGCGATTTCTGTGGTGGATAGCTCAACATGGAACTTTGCAGATTCATCACTATCACCATGCCCTGACTTGATTACTCACTCTATTGTATTCTGTAACCTTTTTTCTCCTGACCTTGTGCGTGTCGCTATTGCGCCCAGGGCATCATCTTGGACCGGAGCTGCATGTCTTGGTCTAGATGATTCGTGATCAATCTTCATAAAGGATGTCATGGTCAAGATCGTGAGGTTTCTATCCTAATCTAGTCTTTTCTTGGAGAACTACTTTAACGCCCTTTGCTGCTCAATCAAAGCTGCTTTGAACATCTTGTACAACAAAATAATCCTGCTTGCTGAGAGAAGAAATTATCCATTGGAAACGTAGCTTGACTACTTTATAATCTCCATAGAAGCAAACTCTCTGCCTTGTTTTCCAACTGTGTAATATCACAACTCTACCACCATGTACGACGTTCCGTGCATGCCCCAAGGCCTTGTCGTCTCCACCTCCACTGCAGATGCCATCAAATCGGACAACTAAGCTGATTGACCTCCACTTCGGCAGTCGATCAATAGACCCTGTGCTAGTTGATATTCAAGATAGCAGTACCGAACAAGCTAGCAGCAGTGACTCCATTGGCGGACGAAAAGTCGCCATTCTTCGAAGTGACCCAGCACATGGTCATTCCGCTCATGATGGTATCGCTGTACGAGAAGGGTACGGTGAAAGAGACAAAGTTACCAATCGTCTTGACGTTCTCAAGTTTCCTGACGATGGGAACGTTCTGAGCATTCGTGTACACCAAGCGGAGGTCAGTGGGTTTTTTGCCGTTGTTGACAAAGGCGAACGCGAGCTCGGTGGTGGTCAACGACACATTAGGAGATGAATTGGAGCTGGGAACCTTGATGGCGTCGGCATTTGGGCATGAATCCTTGACGATGACGTGATGGGTCAAAGCAGCGTAGGCCCACGGGCCGCTGGAGATGGACAGGAAGGGTAGTTCCGCGGGGTTTGCTCCCAGAAGTTAACGGAAGTTACCATTGCGCTCGGCGGCTGTTGATTTGAAAACAAGGTCAGAATGACAATCTAATCAGCGCTGGAGTAACAGTGACTTACTTGGACCTGCGATTGACGCCATCAGAGCAATATAACCACTGTCTCCATTAAGAGCAAGAGTAGTCTGGAAGTTCTGGTAGGTACCAATGACGACGTCGCTGAAGATAGTGGCGAAGTTGATGGCAGCAAAGAAGTTGTCGAATGGGAAAACGTATTGACAAGGCTGAACGGAGTCATGAATGGCAGCATTGAGAACAGCGTTTGCGCTGAGAGCGTGAAGCTCTTCTTGAGTGATGGTCTTCTCCAAGACGGAAAGAAGGGATGGCTCGATCGGACCAGGAACAGCATATCCAGGAACACTATGAGTGATGTTGTTGTACAAAGATATGTAGTAAGCAACTTGGAACAGCTCGGCAAATGCAATCAGCTGGAAACTGGTGACATCTGCTGGTGCGAGGTGTTTGGCCAGAGGTGTATTAGGCAATATGCCAACAGCAGCTTCCCCAACGGTGCGCAGCTCAGGACTAGGTACCTTGATATTGGGGAAGCCGTTTGCTAGCGGGAACTTGAATGCGACCTGACCAGAAGCGACTGCGGTATCATTGGAGGATGTGTTGGCTTCTTGAAGAGGCGCGGCGGAGACTCCGGTGAGCGCACTCAGCAGAGCTGAGCAGACGATAATTCCTTGCATGATTTCGAACTGTCCTTGGTGGTGCTAGCGACTGACTTTGTCGAAATGGATCGAATTTGGTAAGTGGTGAGTGTCTGCGTAGTACATTGGAAGTGTGTGCAACGGCAATCATTATAACCACTTTCACAAAGCTTCTAGTTTGCCGATGTGTATTCCGTTCTGGTATGTCGGACTTACATGAGGCACTTTGCAACCGTCCTATGTCTCGGAGTTTTGATTGGCTTGGTCGATGTTGGGGATCCGCCAATGGGTGAACATAGGGAGTTCTGTGTCATGCAAACTCTTATCGAGCATTCCAGAAATTAGCTTTCTTGGAGCCAGTGTACATTTCAAGAAAGCTCCAATCCAGAGGGACCAGTATAGTTCGCTGGCAGGTGGCGAAGAAAGAGTGCAAGATAATGGTGGTGTTTGCGCCTCCACCAGCGGACAAACAGAAAGTCCAGCCGGGGAAACGCGAGCAGACTCCTCTGCCAACACCACCACATTAGAAACACGATAGACATTAGGCGTTCTACAATAATAAAGCCTTGTCTCTACATCTTGCAGTCAACAGACCTTGAGACAATCGCGCTCATCCCCAAAAGCACCTCCTGAAGTCTCCAAATCAACGTCAGATCCAACTTTGCATTTACCTTCAACAATGACTTCTCCTCTGACTGTCAGTTTGGGAACCAGTCCATGGGGTAAATACGAAGTACCAGGTGTCGTGGCGCCTTTCGATACACTGGAGAAAGTCATGCCACTCATCGACACTTTCTGCTCGCGCGGTCGCAAGCACATCGATACTGCTCGCATCTACGGATATGGCACCGCAGAAGAGCTTCTGGCAGCTGCCGAAGAGAAACACTCTGGTCTGACCGTTTCCACGAACATCTTCCCTGCTCGCACGACTCCTCTCGATCCCAGATACGAACCGTACAACCTCAATGAACACGATCTCAAGCTGGGCCTGGAGAGAAGTCTGGCTGCTCTGAAGGCCGGAAAAGTCGAGACATTCTTTATCTATGATCCGGATCGTAACGTTCCTCTTGAAAAGACCCTTGCCACACTCGACAAGCTTTACAAGGAGGGTCGCTTCACTCGCTGGGGTCTGATTAGACACCCAGCTTGGCTCGTTGCCAGAATCCAGGAACTCTGTTCAGTCAACAAGTGGGTCAAACCTACTGTCTATCAAGGCATATACAATCCCTTTGTGCGCGGTGTAGAGGCCGAGACCATTCCTTGTATCCGTCATCACGGCATGTCTTTCGAAGCTGCTCAGCCCCTGGGTAGTGGCATCTTGGGCGGTCGATACAGAAAAAACTTCCTCGACTCAGAGCACCCTAAAGGCGGTCGCTTCGATCCCAGCCATCTCATTGGCATGCACTTGCGCCACAGATACTGGCATGATCCTATCTTCGACGCTCTTGAGATGATTGAGCAAGCAGCCGCCAAGCATGGAATGACTGCTCGTGAATGCGCCATTCGCTGGGCCCATCATCACAGCGCGATCAAGCCCGAGCTCGGAGACAGGCTCATCTTGGGAGCTGCGGACGCACAGCAGTTGGCAGAGGTTTTGGATTTTGTGGAGGCTGGTCCTTTGCCAGAAGGTGTTGCCAAAGCAGTGGAAGCCAGCTGGCAGAAGGCTACAATTGTGAATTAGTCGTTACGTCGGTCATAGTTCTTTATCTACCCCGTTTCTTAGTACCCTCACTCCACCATAAGGCGTTGCGTGATGGCCTCCATACAGTAGAGCGCATGACCAAGGCTCCTCCGATGCGCTGGTGCGTAATTGGTTTCATGAAAGCCGAAGTCGCGCCGGTGCTTTGGAGCCTACTCCTTCGGCAGACATTTTTACCACAAGCTCGTCGGAGTCGGAGTCGGAGACCATCGTGCAAGCATCTTGCAATCATCCTTGTCCCAGGAGGGTGAGTATGATCATACACCACTGTATGACGCAGCAACGCCGACTACTCAAGGAATTGGAGCGATGACCGTATGTGAAACAACAACAAGTCGGAGTATCTATTAGCCCGCCTGAGCGTTGCTAGCTCATACCCATTGGACGGTGGCTGTATTCCAATCCCTCCGTCTCACCAGCCTCGCAATCATGTGCTGAGAATATTAATGTATGTGCCTCCGATCTTTGCTGCCAACGCGATCGCATGCAGAGGGAAGGATCGAGTACAACAGGCAGACAGTTAAAATTACTACAATAACTCTGCAATGCCTGTTGAATCTTTTTTTGCATCTTTTCGTATTGTTACATCCAAATCCAGATCATGTCTTCTGAACAATGGGACGTTTGTACGTTCGCGACTTGCTCGATCGAGCAGAGCATCTTCCAATATCGCCCGTCCTTAGCAGCCAACAGCGTCTTCATTGCACTCTTTGGGCTGAGTCTTATCATCCATACCTTTCAAGGCGTAATCTACAAGCAGTGGACATTTGCAGTTCTGATTGCGCTTGGATGCATTTGTGAGATGATTGGTTATGGGGGTCGTGTCTTGATGTGGCAAAACCCTTGGAGTTTCAATGGGTTCATCATCCAAATTGGTTTGTCTGGCAACAATGGTGTCGCTGTGTTTTCTCTGCTGACCTTGCGTATCANNGTCTGCATCACCATCGCACCAGTTTTCATGACCGCCGCAGTTTATGTCACACTGTATAGAAGGTATGCGGCGCTGCTTGTCCATCCATCTCGTTGCCCCAATCTTGTCAGCCATTGCAAGTCGTCGATAGGATCACTGACTTGACTTCACAGCATCCAGAAGCTGTCTGTCGGTAGTGCAGCGTTCAAGCCCGCACTTTACTACCAAATTTTTGTACCATGCGACATTGTCGCCTTGGTGCTGCAATCAGTCGGCGGTGCCATGTCTTCCCAGTCCAATGGCTCCTCGCAAGCAGGCGTCAACATTGGTCTGGCTGGCTTGTCCTTCCAAGTCCTTACACTGCTCGTCTTCATTGGACTTGGCGTCCAATACGCTTTCCGCTTTCGTGCAGACGCCAAGCTGGGCAAGGTAACAATGAGTGGTTTCAACAGCCGCTCCAAATGGGTCTTTGGCATGGTGTCACTTGCGACCGTCTTGATCTTCATTCGTTGCGTATATCGCATCTACGAGTTGAGTGACGGATACCAGGGAGCGGCTCTCCATGACGAGGGATTGTTTATTGGTCTTGAGAGTATGTGAGTGAAATCAAGACGTATACCAGTAGTGTCGCACGATTGCTAATTTTCACATCCAGTANTGATTACCTTGGCCACTTTTGTTCTCAACGCTGGTCATCCTGGCATGGTATTCGGGCCCAAGTACAAGAATTCCCATACTTCGGCGTTCATGGCCGAGTCAAGCGATTCTGGCATCTCCACGGAGATGGCGAAAGCATGATCGCTCCAACTTGTAGCCTAGTCCTTTTACTGCCAGATCAATGATGAATCCAGTGGTCAAAGTGTTTGCTTGAATTTGAATTTGGAGCTCAGATTCCAGATCTGGGACCGCACTGCGCGTGCCGAAAGGAAGTCGTTGCAATTCTCAACGACAGAGAAGGAAACTCTCGGTGATTCCATGATATTTAGATAGATAACGAAATGACAGTGCAGTGTATATTAATGTTCATCCACGATATCCCTCCTGAGATTTGCTATGAAGCTCGATTCAATCGGCGACTTATTACAGACCCTGATATCAACAATGAGCACTTCTTCTCGCAGCTGTATTGGCGTTGACAGTGCTAAACGGAGATCTCAGTGCCAATACTCAACATCTGGGTGTAGAAGTCATGAGATCTTGGTCTAGTCAATCAGTTCTCCCCTTTGTTTATGACGCGGAGTCTGCCAATCGAAGGTCTTTCTAACAGGATTTACAAAGTCTTTTTAATGCACAAGAAGAAGCAGGCCTCTCATATTCTTCTTAGCGCAAGCATAATTTCTCTAGAGTAAAATTGCAAGTCTATCCTATAGAGACTAAATCTCTAACATCTATACACTTTCTGTCCTAGGGACTCGCTTTAGCCATTCTAAGCAGCATGTTAGGCTTTACCCAGATATAAAACATTCCTATATATCCCTTATATACAACATCTAGTCGACTAACTTAACACCCGTTATGTTTATATGGTTAACTCTAGTTTACTATAAACCACGTTTATATCTCTTAATATATCCTTGCCGCTATAATTAGAAAAACAATAAAGTAAAAAAAAATAAAAAAAATAGTAGATTTCACGGTCAAACAAATCACTACAAACAGACACTTTTGCAGTAGCGGCCTCCCCCTTCGTTCAAGAGTAACCCTCCTGCTGCAGCGAAATATCGTCAAAATCGACATACACGGCATCGCCATCAGAACACCAAAGCGAAATGGCCAATTCTTGCGCACCCGCACTGCTGCTGGGCACGATACCCGAAACTTTGTGCTTGACGTACGTCTGAGGCCTGTTGATATACGTGGTGGGTGTAAAGCTATCGATGAGGATGCCGCCCAGTGTGACGCTGAATGAGCACACAGAGCCCGGGTTGGCTGTGCGGGGCCAGAGGTAGTAGGAAAGTGTATAGCGGTTGGAAGACGAGAGACCTGAAATGGTCTGGATCAGAGTGGCGGGGCATACGTTGGATGCGTAGTAGTAGAATTCGCTGTGGGTTTTTTGAGATTCGCGTTAGTCCAAAGGGAAATTGCCCACGTAGAAGCGGCACATGTCAATGATTCGTGCGAATATGGAGTTGGAGAGAAAAAAGGTACTTACCCATAGGCTGTACCATCAAAGGCCGCATAAGCTTGGTTGCCAATCCTGTAGCCGCCGTTGTTGCAACGATTGACCGGTCCCTGCCATTCTCCCGCAAACTTGGTCTCAAAGTCACCGTTTACGACAAGGTTGGCACCGAGCGAGGTAGCGGTGGGGCTGAATGTATCGACTACGGTCGACACACTCGAGATGGTCGTTGTAGATTGTATCAACGAGGTTGTCGTCAAAGACACAGTCGTGAGGTATGTAGATAAGGGAGTGGGTGCAATCTGGACAGTAGTGGTCGTTGTAGAGCCGGTGGCGACTGCTGCGCAAGCCTTGGACAAACGAGAGGGCGACCAAGAGATAGCAGAGGCAGGAGTAGCCAAGTCGCGCTTCTGGAAGATGGTCGAGACTGTGGTCGACAGAGAGACTTCCAAGGTAGTTGTTGTGCTATAGCTCGTCTCGGTGGTGTAATCTGTGTCAACAGATGTGACTACGGATGTAGCAGGAGTGCTCATAGCAGTAATGGTCACAACAGGCGGGACGTAGCTCAGGTATGCTGTGCAGAAAGCCTGACCGTTGGCGCTGAGATACGGCACATCCTGAGGACAGCTGACATCACCTGTGTTTGTTGCATTCGAGGCAACGACACTGTTCGAGATCGTGTAGTGGTCGGTTCCCCGCCATTGACCGTTGTTGGTGGCCTTACTACTATCCCATGCTTGGGTGTACAAGGAGCTTTGAAAGTTAGCAGTGAGCGATATAAAAGGCGACTCTTCACCAACCAGTACTGTCCCTGGGAAACACCGTTCTTGAGGAGGAGATAGGTGTTGTAGAATTGACAAAGCTTCGGGCTTCCATTCGAAGGAGGATGTGCCAGGTTATAGGCACTCTGAGCGGTGCAGGCAGCAGCACAACGATTCTCAAGAAAGGGATTGGCAGGGTCGTTCCACATCTTGGAGCCCATGTAGGTATCGGCGCCGTTGCAGTTGAGAGGTGCATTGATGGCGACGTTGTTGAGGTTTGTACTGGCGCTGTAACCGCTGGCATCGCGCTTGTCGACATTCTGAGGCAAAGGGTTCGCATTGATATCTGCTACGACGGCGGCGATGCCTGCAGCATTGCTGGAACCGTCACTGATGACACTTGCGTCGGCGACAGCGTCGGCAAGCGTGAAGTTGATGTCCTGACGGCGATGAAGATCAATAGGATTGTCCGCAGTCGGCAGCGCGACGGCAGAAAGACCCAAGGTCAAGGTACCGATGAGAGTGGCAGTCCACATGACGTTAAAATGAAGCAGAGTCTGATTACTTGAGCAATACGGTAGGGAAAGAGTCTGTAAACGGAGAGGCAACAGGTCAAGCCTTATAGTCCAGTGGAGACGTACAGCCGTTCAATCATCACTTCCACTACTTCAGCTGGATACGAGAATCAGAAGGGCGGTGTCCAGCTAGCCATCACAACTTCTGAGGACGCTCGACGCCACGATCAATCCGTCGAGCAATTGCTGGAAGTGGCGCATGGTACACGTTCGGGATTCTATTAGACAGTGGTCACAAGCGACCAATCGTGTCAAAGACAACGGCCAGACAATCCACACGTGGTGTCACTTTCTCCAGTATAGCTTCAAGCCTCCTCCATTCGCGCCTCGCGTATACACGAGCAAGGCCCGAAAAACGCACCCAGGTTCGGCTCAGCCAATCCAAAACTCTGCAATCAGGTTGACTTTTCGCCACATACCAATATGCAATGACCCTGGCGACAGGATTCGCATCCAGGTTGAGCCTTGTCTCGCATCTAAGCAGTCGAACGAGGGCAAAGGCTTCTGAAGGTTTCTGCCAGAGGGCGCAAAAAGCCCCGTATCGCTTCATGAAGGCAGCGCGGTCAGCTTGATTCACTGTCTGTACATGGGTATCGCTCTTGGAATCTCTCAAGCACGAATACCGCGACGGTATTGGCAACAACCAAAGACATGCTTCTATACACGATGTATGACTAGAAGGACAGAAAAACACGGCAGCATGCAGGAACGCAATCAAACTTCTTGACGCTTGACAGGAAGAGCTGAACTCCAAGATGAGACCTCCCTGAACCTTAAAGAAGAAAGGAGCCGGGGAGCTGAAGTCCCCGCAACTGAGTGCGGCTTCCGCGGTTAGAGTTTGCAAAGCAGAGTGTTAGTGCAGAAAATGACAGGGACTAGTTGGAGGTGTTACCAGAAACAGCAAGTCCATGTTGATGAGAAGCTATGCGTGGTACGAGACTTGCGTCTCAGAAAGCGTTTACATGCAAATCATCTGTCTATTCGTGCATAACCCCCATTTGTTCGCGCCCCACAATCCTGAACAGCCCTACTCGGAGTGGTTGATACATGCCTGTTATCTCGCAGTCGCCAATCAAGGCTGGTGAGCAGGAGCAATGGGACTAGCCTCCACGCCCACAACCTTGGGCTCCACCTCGCCAGCAGAACCTTCCTCCTCCTTGACTTGCGGCGCAAATGCCTGAGGGACCTTCTCACTCAAGTTCACAGCCAAGAAACTCTTGGGTAGCTTGACAGTATGGAACTTGGCCCTCAGCGTCTCGAGCACCTCCTTCCACTCCACGTGAGGGGTCAAGCTTCTTCGAGTGCTGCAACCGATACAGTGCTTACTGTCCAGTTGGACATCCAGGGGGTCGAAAGCGTGGCAACCAGGGGAAAGAGTGATACGGATGCTGTAGTTGAAGCAGCTACCTTCAGGGTCGTCGGTGGTAGCTTCGTTCTGTGACTCGTAGAGCTCGAAACATATTTGAGAGAGGTAGTCGAGTTCGGGGATGGCGTTGCGGGCAATCTTTGTCTGAACACCACCCTCGATGATGGAGTTCAGCAGAGTGTAGATGTGTGATTCCTTGGTGAAGTAGATGAAAGACTTGGCGTCTTCAGATGCTTGCACNTGTGACGAATAGTTAGCGACTGCTGTCTGTGTAAAAGGCGGAAAACTCAAACCTTCTTCCAGATCCGTTACAATCTCCTTCAACAACGGCAAACTTGTCAAGAGTCCAATCTCCAGCTTCTCGCTCTCGAGCATACCATACTCCTGAGGACCAATGTAATCGAACAGAACCTTTGAGAAACGATACAGCTCTCTCAGCTTTTCCAGACGGGCGTCGATCTTTGCCTTGGATTCGGGAAGATCTTTGTTGCCAGTGAAGAGCGCGAAGTATGATTCAGGGTGACCAGAGACACGATTAGCCAAAGTTGCCTGCGCATTCTTGAAAGTGGTAGAAGCATTCTCTGAACGTCTTCTCAGGCTTGCCATGTGAGACAGCTTATCCTTGTCATCACCCTTGTCCTTCTCTCCTTGCTGCTTGGTAGATTGAGCATCCTTTTCACCAGCAGACTGCTCCTTCGTGGGCGCAAGGCCTTCATGGGTCTGACCGAATTCTTCTCTCATGTCCGCAGAGGCAGTACGCTTCATAGTATCCGGGCGTTCCTGATCGTCGTCAACCATGTCGCTGCTGGGAGTGAACACCCATTCAAGGAATTGTCGGTTGTGCAGAGCATCAAACTTCATCGTGTCGTAAAGCTCACTAATCTTACTAGGGTCGACCTTTTCGGCATCGGTAAATTCCTTGAAGAGCTTCTCCCAGCGTTCCTTGAACAATGAGGCGTCTTCACCGCAGCACCATCTAGATTGGATCTGCTTGGGGTCAACACTCTCTGGGATGCTGTCTGCAAGACTGGCCGAAGAAGCATTGCTAGGAGGACTCTTGATGGTGGCTCCTCCCGCACCTTCAGGCCGGAGTTTGCTGAAGTTTTGTAGCATGACACGACGGTGGAATTTCATCAATTCAACGACACTGCGAACGACCAGGTACGGTTCGGGAGTACCGTCCTTCGGCCATGCGAATTGTTCGGGTGCTTGTTTGCCCTGGCGGAGAAGACCCTTCAGCTTCTTCTTAACCTTGTCCATCTCATCCTTGGCTGCGTTCGAGTCATCGAGCAAATCCTTGCGAACTGAGATAAAGTCAGGGTCGAGCTCCTTCTGGTCCAAGAAAGAAGCAGTGAAGATTTGAGCACTGGTGGACACACGACGCTCGGAGGATGAGAAGACACGAACATCGCGTAGGGCATCCTTGTTCATGAGGAGCAAGTCATTGCGCATGTTTTCACCGAGGTCTTGAGCCTGGTAGCGAGCAGAGTGAGTAGGCTCACCACCCCACTTCATAACAAGCTGCAACTTGTCAAGCACAAGATTGTTCTCAGCAGCAGAGATTCTGGAAAGAGTCACGTCTGCCATGGAGTCTCCCCGTGAGTGATTGGCTTCATCGCCCTGAAGGGGGGTTGGCTTGGGCTTGGCGTTACCGTGCTCATCGACAGTGACCTTGTCCTGGAGTTCGGCAGGCAACTCTTCTTGTCTCCTCTTGCGGAACATGGGTTTGATCTGGACCTTTGTACCCGGCCAGCTGCCCTTCTTGTCCAGAGCATTAGACAAGGTACGAAGCTTGGTTTGGTCTTCTTCGCCCTCGAGCAGGGCCTGCTGTACGGCTTCTTGCACACTCTTCAAAGCGGCCTCACCAACCAACAAAACTTCCTCGCGGTGGCCCTTGAGCAGATCGACGAAAGGCTTGGTGTGGAAGGTGAACTTGAACTTTTGCTTGGGGGTACGATCGGCGTGACGGATGACGGCAACCATACCCTTGAGCTTCCATTGCGACTTGGAAGCAGGCGCAGGCACATGCTCAGCATGTTCTTCGGCTTCGTGGATGGACTCTTGCAGAGTTTGGTATTGGTGATTCTCGTCAGGCATCGCGGGTGGTGGAAGTTGACTGTCCTGAGGGATGCCAGGGCTGCGAGGCGGAGGGAGATTTCCGAAGCTTGGTGGGGAGGTGATGGGAGAAGGCAGTTGAGACAGCTCGGGTGAGCCAGGCTTCTTGTTGGCCAAGTCCCGCAGTCTGTTTGCGCTTGCAGAGCGGAAGACTGACTTGAGATGACTGCGGTGGTTGGAGACAGTAGCCTTGCGGTGAGTACCGGGAGCTTCTCTTTCGTAGTTGTCTTCACCCGCAGACGAAGGCGCAGAGGTGAGTTGCTGTTGCTGTTGTTGTGCCTGTTGCTGCTGCTTGTTCTCGAGCCTGACCTTCTCGCGAATGAACATGCTCTTGAGGATATTGGCGCACTTGTCGTAGTAGTCATTGTTGTCTTTGACAAAACTCCAGCCGTTGACGTCGATAACGTAGCTCTTGTCACCGACACGCAGCAAGTCAAAACCACAGACGCGCTGTCCAAAGCCATCAGCGATTCTCGAAGCCATGCCAGCTTCCTCCTTGTTGAGGCTAGTCACGTAGCGGACTTCCTTGCCGTTGGGGTTGCGCTTGACCACGCCGTCAACGACGGGAGACTTTCTGGTTTCGGCATGGCAGTAGTCGAGACCGACAGTGTAAGCCTTGACATCTTCTGCATTCTCCACCTTAAGGAACTGCTCGTAGATGTAGCTGCTTCCAGGCTCCGAGATGGATCTGGGCACGGTCAAAGTCTCGTCCTTTTCCGAACTCTTGTTGTTGACCTTGCGGAACAGTCTTCTGCCACCTCCACCTTGACTCTTAGGGTAGTAGATGTGGATGTTATGATCTTCTCCGTCCGTGGGCTTCTCGACAAAGGGCTTGGTCAGAGTCTTGCCGTCGACAGAGATGGTGTCGCCGTCGTCCAGCAATTCGACTACAGGATCTGCTGTTTGTTGTGCTTCGGTCTCGGGCTGGCTGCCCAATACTGGAAAACGAAGGCCGGTTTTTTCAAAACATCTCTGGGCAATGTCGGCGGACTGGACCTTGGGACCTCCATCACGGTTGACTTCGACACGATCGGGGGTGGGGACGTTGAGCTTTGTGAGGATCTGTAGGCAGATACGGCGGTCCCACAGGATGGTCTGCATGGGCAGGTCGTTGACACAGAATGGTTTGCGCAGCTTGGCGTATGCTATGGCCTTGTCCAGCGGGAAGCCTTCGGAGAAGAAGGAGATGAGAAAANNGTCGCAGACGGGCCAGTTCTCGACATCTTCGTCCAGAATGACCTTGTCGCCAAAGACAATGACCTCAAACTCGCCCTCCTTGATGAGTCTGTTGAGGATGTTGCGACTGGGCTTGCTCCTGGCCTTGCTGTCGAGGGCGCAGATACCAATCTTGCCGATGGGGACAGGCTTGTCTTGTTCGGGACGTTCTGTGCTGGGACTTGCGCTGTTGACTGTGCTACTGCTGACTCTTCGGGATTGGGGAGTTCTGCCACGAGGATTGGCATTTGAGCTTGGAGGAGGTTGGCGAGGGAAGGAAGCAAAGACGCTGGCTCTCGGTGATGTGGTGGTCGAGGTAGGCTCGGAATTNGGTAGGTGGGGGAGGCTGTTCTCGCGATCCATGGTGGCGGCGGGCGCAGAATGCGTGCCGTGGTGATGGGCAAGAGGCAGCGAGAGGGAAGTAGAGTCGGATCTTGGGGTGGCTTGAGGTAAATGTTAGGAGGAGATGAATTGATAAGAGAGCCTGAGACGGGACGGTTGAGCACAAGCACAATGACGTGCGGGTGGATAGAAAGGGTCTTTGGGGGGTTTGGGGGTTTTGAAAAGAAGCGACAAGACTGACCGTCAGTCTCGGAGCCAGCGACGGAGCTCGCAGTGGATACGGCACCCCTGGCACGGCCGTACAAGGCAGAGCCCAATTGGTAGAGCGAAAACGAAGGACGGTTCGAGTCGTCGTTGTTGTCTTGGCAAGGGACGGCGAGGTTCAGATTGGGCTCAGCGTTGTCATGGGCCTGAGTCGGGGTCGCGTCAGAGTCGTCGACAATGGCAGACGAGTCTGGCAGGCTGGACGAAGCCATCATGTGTTGGTGCAAGACGTGGGCGAGCAGATTATTGTGCTCAGAATGCGCTCTGGACGGCCGTCGTGGAGGCGGCGGGGACAAGAGTGGATTTGACTTCAACGGGTGTACCAGCGGCATGCTGGTGCTTGACGTCTTGACCAGCGGCATGCTGATGCTCGCCCTCTTGACGGCGGCGCTGCTGAGACGGGCCTGATCTGCATCTGCATAGTGTGCTTTGTGGTCCAGCAGGGACGACGAGAGGGGATGCGAGTATGGAGCGCCCGACGAGCTCCTTCTTGGTTGCTGGCTTTCATGGCTGACTGTCCTATGCAAAGGCTCCATGGCCCTGCAAGACTTGAACTAGGTACGATCCGGACAAAAGATGTGGGTACACACAGGGACTGGTCTGGAGTTGATGATAAGAATGTTCGACTATATTCTGCTAGGTAGGGATATGTTTGCACACGATGTACTCGTATCTGCAATCGTGGTATACCGTATGCATCATGTGCGTGATTGTGGCATGCTGCAGCCAAAAGAAGCCTCGGCTTTAACGGCATTTGCTAGACAATCCAGATGGTCCAAGCGTCCAGAAATGTTGGCGTCGCGCATGTGAAGTTTTGGTTTTGGACGAGACGAGGTTTTTGTTCAATCACACAATGCCTGCTGCCGTCGATACCAACGGTGTGGCCGAAGGCCGTCAGGTCAAGCGCCAAAGGACGACCCAGAATGACGAGGCTGTTGTCAAGAGCCAGAGACAGGTCGGCTCTTCGCGCCTGTTTGCGCCATACAGGGTGACTTCCTCTTTCCGCAGCGACATGTGCGTGCAGCCCGCTGACTCCTTCCTCTTTAGANCTGTCGGTCTCGTCTCGCCCACCGCCGTCCCCTTCGCCAGCATCGCCCTCGGCAAGACGACCTTCCAACTCACCACCTCGGTCGGCCGCAGTCTGCAGACCTACGACTTGCGCCGCGGTCTCAACCTCGTCTTCATCACCCGTCCTCAGACTCCCGACTTCATCACAGCGAGCATCGCCCACAAAGATCTGGTCTTTGCAGCATGGGGAGGACAACAGTCCGAGTCGGACCGCGGCGTCTGGATCTTCAAGAGAGGCAAGAAGATTGCAGAACTCGAGATGCCCATGAACCACCAACACAACCTCAAGTCCTTCACCATCTTCGGCTCATGGATCATTGGCGCATGCGACAACCAAATCCTCGTCTGGAAGTCGTCCAACTATGAGCTCTACACCACTCTGCAGACCATCACCGCCTCCTCTTTCACCGGAACCCTCAGCAGCATGCCCACCATGCTCAACAAGATCGTCGCTGGAAAGGATGACGGCACTGTCGAGATCTGGAACGTCTCGAGCGGAAAGCTGGTCTACTCGCTCCTCCCTCCGGCCGCTGACTACGGCGCCGTCACCGCCCTCCAACCCACCCCCGCTCTCAACCTCCTCGCCATCGCCTACGAGTCTGGCCCTCTGATCATCCAGGACATTCAGGCAGACAAGAAGATTTTGCAGTTCAACGCGAGCGCTCACGGCACAAACGGTCCTCCGATTACCTCAATCTCTTTCCGAACAGACGGCATGGGCGCAGGGGATGATGGCAAAAGAGCTGGTGTCATGGCTACCGCCTCAAACGAGAGCGGTGATGTGACTCTGTGGGACTTGAACAACGGCGGTCGCAAGCAAGGTGTTCTTCGTGGCGCCCACGCCCCGCCTTCATCTGCTTCGCCCGGTGGTGTTACCAGAGTCGAATTCCTGCCCGGACAAGCCATCATCGCCACCAGTGGTCTGGATAACAGCCTCAAGACCTGGATCTTTGACGAGAGCCCCTTCAACCCCGTGCCCAGAATCTTGCACCAGCGCAGCGGACATGGCGCTCCTGTGACAACACTGTCTTTCCTTCCGGCTGCTTCAGACGGTTCAGATGCCAGCGGAAAGTGGCTCCTCAGTACCAGCAAGGACCGCAGCTTGTGGGGCTGGAGTCTGAGGCGTGATGGCCAGAGCACCGAGCTCTCTCAAGGCAATGTCACCAAGAAGGCCAGAAAGCAGGGTATCCTCTCTTCCGAAGGCAGAGACACAATCGAGGCGCTCAAGGCTCCCCCAATCACTTCTCTTGCTTGCTCGCTGAACCGTGATGGTGGCATGGGCTCCATGCCCGGCAAATTCCCCATCTGGCAATCTGGCAAGGGCAAGACTAAGAACAGCACCGAAGCCACGAGCACGACTGGATGGGAAAGTGTTGTCACCGCGCATGAGAACGATAACAAGGCAAGGACCTGGTTCTGGGGCAGAAAGAAGGCCGGCAGATGGGCTTTCGAAACTCAAGATGGTGGAAATGTCAAGAGTGTTGCAGTCTCTCCTTGCGGTACTTTTGCTCTGGTTGGATCCGAGAATGGTGGTATCGACATGTTCAACCTTCAATCCGGTGGTCACAGACAGAGATACCCGGCACGACTCACTCCTGCTCAAGCACAACAACTCAAACTTGATTTGGCCAAGGCAGAGGAAGCCATTGCTCCCGCAGCAGAGGCTGGTAAGAAGAAGTTCTACCGAGGACAAGGAAAGCACACCGCTGCTGTGACTGGTCTGGCTGTCGACAACCTGAACCGCACTGTCATCAGCTGTAGCATTGACGGCAAGATCAAGTTCTGGGACTTTATGAGCGGTGCTCTCAAGCATGAGATCGACTGGTCTGGAGCTGTCCAAATCACAGGCCTCAGACTGCACCGTGGATCAGAGCTCGCCGCCTTCACATGTACTGACGGCTGTGTTCGTGTTGTTGACGTTACCACATTCAAGCTCATCCGTGAGCTGAGAATGTCGCGATCATCGCAAGCCAAGGCACTCGACTTTGCCGACTTTGGTTTCTCCAACGACGGCCGCTGGGTCATGGCTGCAACCTCGTCCTTCGTTTGCGCTTGGGACTTGCCGACAGGCCATCTGATTGACGTATTCAAGCTTCCATCGACTTGCAATGCTATCAGCTTCTCACCGACTGGAGAGTACCTTGCGACAGCAAGTGAGGAACATGTCGGTGTTGATGTCTGGTCCAACAAGACGATGTTTACTCATGTTCCTACCCGACACATCAACGAAGCCGAGCTGTCGACAATTCTTGCCAGCGAGGCCCAAGCACCTACAGTATCGGGCGAAGGTAGCATCTCTGTTATCGGCACCTTGGCCAACGCACCCGATGTTGAGTCTGACGACGAAGACTACGTCGACGCCGATCTCGATGCCGATGCGGATCTGGATGCTCTTTCTTCTGACCTTGTCTCATTGTCATTGGTGCCTCGCAGCCGCTGGCAAAACCTCCTACATCTGGATATCATCCGCCAACGCAATGCACCGACCGCAGCACCCAAGAAACCAGAAAAAGCACCTTTCTTCCTTCCCTCATTGCAAGAACGACAAGCCAACCCCGCCATCGCAAATACAAGCACCACACAAGACCTCGCCGCCATCGAGCAAGAGCGCAGCCGCATCATGAAGATGGACCGTCAAAACACAATCTCAAAGTTCACCTCTTTGTTGCGTGACGCCTCTGAGACCGGCGACTTTGTGCCTTTCATCTCACACCTCAAGGGTCTGTCGCCAGCAGCTGCTGATATCGAGATTCGCAGTCTGTCTTCCCCCATCACATCTTTTGATCCAGATTCAGATGCTTGCAACGAGCTAGTTGCCTTTGTACGCGCACTTTCATTCCTCTGCACATCCAAGCGCGACTTTGAGCTCGGTCAAGCATGGATGGCCGTGTTCCTCAAGGTACACTCTGATGTTGTCGTCGAGGATGAGGAGCTTCGACAGAGTGTGCGAGAATGGAGGGACAGAGTTGTAGAGGAAAAGGAAAGAGTAGAAATGCTGGCACAGTACTGTGGTGGTATGGTTGGCTTCCTAAGGGCCGCTAGAGTGTAGATGGTTCTTTGTATTTCCATATGAAGCGATGCTCTCCATGAGTTGTATACATATTAGTTTGATATGAGTGTCTGTATTTTCTTCTGCACAAACCACGACTTTCCCGCTCGAGGACTTTTCTGGATCCCAGAGAGGAAATTGCACTCCCAGATCGCGAAATGTGGGGTTGGTGGCGCAAGATGGAACGAGCTAACTTCGTGCCATGACTCTGCTCGTCTATCCCACAACAATCTGCTGTCTTCCCACTCAAATACCATTGTGTTGTGTCCTGTCCACTATCATAGGGTCAAACGAACAATCATGATAAGGGAAACCGTCTCCAACCGGCTCCCCTACCTGATGCACTGCCGATGGTCAAGCTTTCGGTCCCGAACGCCTTCACGACTTCCACCATGCAGGTACGCACCAGAAGAAAGATTTGTTTTCTGCAGGAGATGGCCGACGTACCTTTCTACCGACTCGATAATCTCCAACGGGCAGTTTATAGGAGGAAATGAAACACTGCCAATGTGCTGTGGGCAATATCCACTGTAGGGGCAATGTGGCTCAGCTGAGCTTCCAGTACGTACCGCAACGGGTTTCAGCTCGCTGCACGAATCAGGGAGATGTGCGGTTTTGGCAACTGTTCTTGCTGCATCCGCTCCGTTGCACGATACAAGTAGGTCTCGTCTGCGCCGAGGATCTTCTTTCGTTGTTTTCTGGATCGGTTGTTACTTCTCTTGCTGCAATTCTTTCGTTCAACGTTTGCGATATTCTTCCTTTTCTGCTTTGCATGCGTTCTGAGTAAAAAGCGACCACTTTGCAACCATGGCCGAAGCCCAGAGATTAATGTCCGACGGCGGGCTCGACATTGACGACGAAGCCATCACCATTAGATTCTCCTCGAGGAAGCGTAGATTCATCAGCAACTTTACAAACACCTTGTCTCTACCATCAAGATCCACAGTCTGGGATACTACAAAACAAGCCGGCTTCTTTCTTCTACCCACTTTCGTCCAATCCAGACTTTTGCCCCCGTCGTCAACCTCGTCAAAACCACTTTCTGCCACCGCATGGCTGGATGGCATGAGAGGCATTGCCGCGTTCCTGGTGTTTGTCTTTCACATTACCTATGCCACCCACGATGTCGCCACCGCATGGACACCAAATGGCAAGCGCGACTTTTTGCGTTTACCCCTGCTACGCTTCTTCTACCACGGCCCTGCGATGGTCAGTATCTTTTTCGTGCTCAGTGGGTATGCATTGAGCTACAAACCTTGCAAACAAATGCGCAGTGGCGAAACGGATGCACTTCTCAAAGGTCTTTCGTCGTCGGTATTTCGCAGAGGTTTGAGATTGTATTTGCCTTGTGTGGCATCCACGCTGGTCATTTTTGTTTGCGTCAGGGTAGGCTTGTATGAGGCTACGAGCGGACTTGCTCATGATGGCAAGAGATTGACTGGATACCGGGATCGGCATGAGCCGCGCTTGGATGGGTTTTGGGAGCAAGTGTGGGTTTGGGGTAGTAGTGTTTTGGGGTTTGTGAATCCGTTCACGGGCAAATATGTTTGGGGGGACGGACATTTGTGGACGATTCCTTTGGAATTTGTGAGTTTTGCTCTCCCTCTTCTTTTCTTCTTTGTTTTGCTGTCCTCCTTTTTGCGATTGCTGTAGTGGTCGTTCCAGGGGGTCGGATTTGGTAATCATTGTGCTGACTTGCTACTCACAGNNAGGGCTTCCATTGTTTTGTATGCCGCACAACTCGGACTCTGTCAGTTGCGCATGCGGTATCGCATGTTTTGCTTGATGGGCTTGATGGCCTGGGCTCACCACTCGGACTACTGGGTCGTCCTACTCTTCTTCCTCGGTTTCATGCTCGCCGACCTCGACATCAGACGCAGCGCCCTCGCCTCGGCAACCACCTTTTCCACCACCGTCTCGTCTGCAAAACTCAGTACGCTGTGGACTGCCATCTACATTGCTACCTTTATCGGTGGCTTGTACATTGGCGGTCAACCCGAGATTGCGGGCGAACACGCACCAGGCTGGACACTGCTATACTCACTCATCCCCTCGTACATCCACGACCGCAATCGCTATTGGTGCGGTTGGGGAGCCCTACTGCTCGTCTGGTCGACCTCCAATTCTCGCCTTTTGCAACGCATCTTCACAGCCCCAATCTCCCAATACATGGGCAAGATTTCGTTTTCTCTGTATTTGGCGCATGGCTTTGTCATTCACACGGTTTACTATATGCTGTTGCCTGTTGTGTGGGATGTTTTTGGCAGGGAGACGAAATTGCAGAGGGAAATTTCTTTTGGTGTTGCGTTGGCTGTGGTCACGTTGGTGTTGGTGTGGATTAGTGATGTTTTCATGCGGTGTGTGGATGTGCCGAGTGTGAGGTTTGCGAGGTGGTTGGAGGGCAAGGTAAAGGCTTCGACGCAGGTGCGTGCAGTTAAGCAGGAGCCTGGGTGGAGTATAGCCTGATATGTTTTCATCGCTTAAGATAGCGACTGTAGATGGTTTGGTCGCATATACTCGTGCGGCAAAGACTTCAGAACTTCCAAATCTCAATGTTTCGCGCATTTCACGCATGAGCTTTTTGTCGCGCGGTTTTCTTGTTACATGTCAGATTTTGACCAAGTCTTTTGTGTCAGCGCATGGTTATATGGTATAGGCTGTATTGCCTGAACTATTCGTGTATATATACTACGCATGGCTTCCTTGTTCTGCTTTACAACTCTTATACTACCTAACATCTAGACTATCTTACATATATATACGTGTATGTCTTATACAAACATTTCAACATGCGTACGTATAGAAATAACTGAAGGTAGAGGTGCGGGATGGAAGCTACTGAGGATGTGATACAGAATGCTCTGCATACAAGCGCTTGCAGTCGTAAGCGAATGCATTGAAACATCAGGATTCGGAAATCGGGAGTATTTGCCGCTAGGTACCTCCAGCCGACCTTTCCCTAGATTGAGATATACATATAGTTAGATCACTAGCCATGTTTGTGATATGTCGCTTATCTTGCAAATTGGAGATGCCAAGCTGTTTGTGACTCTTCCATATAAGAATATTAGTTGCCGCACGCGCACGTGCATCTTGTTTCCATCTCTCCCTCGAGAGCTTCCCTTCTACCTCACTATCCAAGTCGTTATCACCTGCAATATAGAGCACTTTCCGCAAAACAATGTTCATTCTGCCGGTTGAGGCCTTGCGGCACATTGGTAACTATCTGGACCGTCCTAGCTTGTTCGATTTCTCAAGCACAAATCGGCAATGTCGACTGGCTTTGTCAGCGCTCCTTTTCCAGGATGTGTGCATCAAGTTCTCCTCGCCGGCGACTTTGGACCATAGCGTCAAACGCTGTCAAGAGATCATGGCATCTACGACGAGTTTTCAACACGTCCAGCATCTGCGTGTCGTTGCCGCAAAACTGGATTCCCCTTGCCGTGTTTACTCCGTTCATGATTGTGGAGACCGCCCGCTTGACATCTGGAGGTATTGCGGTAAAGCTGGCGACGAAACATTACTGGTGACTCGGGACGATGAGTGGCAATCCTTGACTCGTCTGGTACAGAGTTTTCCTGCTCTTCGGAGATGCACTTGGGGGTGCCTCGAGCAGATTCCTCTCTGTATCTTGAAGATCATTAATAAAAAGAGGCCCACCTGTTGGCTTGACATGGACAACTTTTTTCTCCCTAGTCTTGTTCAGCCGCTTGGCGCTAATTTGAGTACGGCCATTGACAGCAGAGATCTCAAAGTTGCGACTGCACGATGTCTCCGCAGCCTGGTCATGCGAAGTGAGTTGTTGAAGTCATATGAATACATGGACCACAATCGGCAAGCAGTCATGGAGATGGTCGAGGGAGCAGCGCCAAACCTGAGAACAGTTCGTCTGATGTGGCCCGCGACGACTAGCACAACGGCCGCCTGTCGACAGAGCATCTCGCTGGAGATATTGCTGGCAAAGGCTTAAAAGTCAAGCTGGTCTTATACTGGACAAAGAACGATGGGTCGATTGGACAATCTAGAGATTCTCGAAGGCGGATCGGGACAAGCGCTCCATTACTGGAAAACCAAGACGGATTTCGGGCTGTTGCAGAGCCTGAAGGTGCATTACCCTCTCGAAACGTCTGATTTTAGATGGCTTGAAAAGACCTGTCAATTCAGATCTTTGCACACGCTAGCCGTCAAGCTCGACGTCGATTATAGAGGAAACCATCCTGAATGCGATCTAGCAGACGCCGTGGAGGACTTTCTGTTGTCCATTCCTCCACTTCGCAGTGTAAAGTTGACCGGACAGTACAGCCGGNCGCGCATCGTAGAGTCTGTACTAGATCGCTGCAACCTTTCTCTGCGACATCTTCTTCTGGGGCCGCTCGATAATCTCGGCACAGGTGTCCTTGCAGATGTATTCCTTATCCAAACCATCCGCGACAGATGCCCAAGTCTGGAGGAACTCGCGATCCCCATGATGCGGAGCCAAGGAGATGCCACCGAGGTTGCAGTATATCAAAGTCTGGCACAACTCCCTGCCATCCGCAAATTGCACCTCTTCATGTACTGCAAGGAGCCTTTTCTCTGGAACCCGAATCCGCAGATCCGACTGTCGCTCGACTATCAGATAGCCGATCATGAGCAGGACATACAAGATCAGTTTTGCCGTGCGGCGGTCGATTTGGCAGTCGATGGAGCACTTGCGAGTTCCATCTTCCAGGTCATGGCGTCTGCAAAGCATCAGAAAACACCAACCCTGGAGTGTCTAGAAGTACACGTGGGAGCCCTTCAAATCCTGGGTGGATTTGACTCGACTTCCAAGATGACTCGGTGGCTGCAATATATCGGTCGTTCGTGGACTTGTACGCCAAACATCCGAGACGGAATACCCAGTCAGTGCCGCATTCTCGAGTATGATGACAGAGATAAGCTCTTTAGACAGAATATAGACAACCTCGGCGAAGTAGACGAGGAGATCGAAACTCGCTCTGGTTATTTGCTATCGAAGATTTGGCCCGGCATTGACAGCGAAAATTGGAGAGCGCAGTGGCATAGTTTTCCACTGACTGTTTGATCACTCGAGCTGATGGATCTTCTTAGCATAGTACCTAGTAGACTAGTGTAAACTGTTCAGGTCCACACGTACCTTGAAACATGGTCTGATATCTACCAGGCTTTATGAAGTACTTGCACGTCGTGTGCGCAATTTTGGGCAAGGCTGGACTTTGGGGCTTTCCTTCTCTTTCTGTGCAATTCGGTTGTCTGTCGTAGGCAGAGCAATTTCCCAGGCAAGGAAACATCCCAGGGCTCTAAACTCTGCCAGTTGTCTGTCACAGGTAGAGCAATTCTCCAGGCGAGGAAACATCCCAGAGCTTTGAGGTCTGCCAGCCAGACCGTTTAGAGACACATGTGTTGTCTAATGCAGGTCTGATAGTGGTTTTGCAAGCCACCTTTTGATGTACAGTGAGCTGTGCAGCTCTTGGTCGGCTACAGCCAGAACCCCGCATGCAAGAGACAAGAAATATCTTGCAGGCTCATCATCTCACCGGTGCGGACATGATTCGAATGGAAAGCCTTCGGCTCGAAGGGATCTACCTCAGACCATACAGTGGTTATGAGGACCAATAGGTGAATGCATGATTCGCTTCACGGCTTGACCGGTCTTAGCCGCTTCCTCCCTATCAGGAGCGTAGCGGGGCGTTGTGCATGCATACTGCACGGCTCAAATATATCTTACCATATCCTTATTTTGGCATGTTACGCCTAATTGATAATTCCGAGAAATCCTTGCATTTGACAAAGCACTTCTACATAAGTGCGTCCAGTTCCCAAAGGGCCAAATCCTAGAGCTTTCGAATTCTGGCCATTCGAGCTGTTGCTGCGAACAAATAGACCTTCATATCCTGCGCACATAATTTGTAACTCTTACCTTGCAGCTTCGAGCGCTCGATCATGTTGCTGCATATCGGTTTCGTGCTGCTCGCTTCGCTTGCTCACTCTGCGACAGCTTTGCTACATGATAAGCCTCTGTTGGGCTCTAAATTTGGTGTCCCTGGCAAGTACAGGCAACACTCATGATATAGCGAAGCTAACCAGGATACTTGCCAGGTTTCAACGCTTCGTACGACTACGTAGTTGTGGGAGGTAAGTGCATTTAGCGAATCAATACCTTCCATAAGTCACCATCAGAACTAAAGGCACATATAGGTGGAACAGCAGGTTTAACAATAGCGACCCGCCTTGCCCAAAATGGAAGCTACTCTGTCGCCGTCATCGAAGCAGGAAGCTTCTATGAGTTGGACAACGGTAACTTCAGTCAGATCCCATATGTGAGCCATTACCATGATGAGGTTCACATTGCTCATCCACTGACAAACAACAAGTACGAGTCCGAGTCAGCTAGCGTATCGCCTGATCTTTCGACTGTCAACAGCCTCATCGATTGGAAGTTTCTCACCACACCACAATCAGCGCTGTCAAACCGTACGATCCACTATGCGCGTGGAAAGTGTCTCGGTGGTTCCAGCGCGCGCAATTACATGGTCTACAACAGAGGCACCGTGGGCGCTTTCGCGACCTGGGCAAATCAAGTCGGAGACCGCCGCTGGGAGTGGGATAACGTGTATCCCTACTACCGCAAGTCCTCACACTATACGCCCGCAAACACAGTTTTACGTCCTTCCAACGCGTCCCTAGGTACAGTAGATGAGACGACGTCGTTTGAGAAGCAGGGTGGCCCTCTTCAAGTCAGCTTGCCGAATTATGCCCAACCGTGGTCATCGTTTCTACCCAGTGGGTTCGAGGAAATGCACGTTCCTCTCTTGAGTCAGGGCATCAACGCAGGTGTTCTTGACGGATATGCGAGTATCACACTGACTGTAGATCCTGCCGATGAAACCCGCAGCTCTTCCGAGACTTCGTTCTTGAGGACTGCTCTTATGGATACTGATTTGGTTGTCTATACCCATGCTTTGGCCAAGCGGATTTTGTTTGACGACGATAAGAGGGCACGCAGTGTCTTGGTCGATGTCGCCGGCATGCAATTCCAGGTCGATGCCACGCAGGAGATTATTCTGTCCGCAGGAGCCTTCCAGTCACCTCAGCTGTTGATGGTGTCTGGTGTTGGACCTCGAGCGATTCTCAACAAGCATCGAATCCCAATCGTTGCAGAGCGTCCTGGTGTTGGACAGAACATGTGGGTGAGTCAGATAGTCTCTGATAATAACGTGCAGGCCGGTGGCTTAATGAAGTCGATAGGACAACCCGCTCGTGGGTAAGCGCAGTGGGCACGCAAGCCATGCAACTTCCGAATCACTAACAAGACANTAGCGCTATCTTACAAGGTCAATGTAGAAACAACTTCGGTCCTGCAAAACGATCCCACTCGGATCTATGAGGAGACCGAAAACTACGTTGCACGACAATCGGGCCTTTTAACAAGTANNAACGACGAGTATAAATGTGCAACAAAAATTCGAGCTAATTACTCCCTAGGTATGGGTGCTGATACAATCGGCTTTCTGAAACTATCGAATCTGGCATGGACGAATATGAGCTCGGCGACCAGAGCAGATTTTCAAACAGCTTTCCCTCCCGACTGGCCAGAGACTGAAGTGTAAGCTCAAGAAAAAAAAAATGCGGCCAAGACGACTATTGCTCAACATTCCTGACTGATCGAGAACAGTGTCTCTTTTGCTGTTGGTCCCAACGACGGCATCAACAACTTTGCCACCATTTCAACTGGCTTGCTCGCTACGTTCAGTCGTGGCACCGTCTCCCTCAATTCCCCAGATATGGCAGATGCGCCTTTGATCGACCTTGCATTCCTCTTGGACAAAAGAGACCAAGATTTGGCTATCGCAGCATTTAAATACGCTCGGCGATTGGCCGCCACAAAATCGCTTCAACAAGCCATCATAGGCGAGGAATTCTTTCCCGGACCTCAAGTCGGCACTGATGCCGAGATTTTGGAGTTCTTGCAACAGAGTGTTTCACCATTTTTCCATGCGTCTTGCACATGCAAGATGGGGAAAGTCAATGACAGTATGGCTGTTGTGGATGCAGAGGCAAGGGTGATTGGTGTCAAGGGCCTTAGAGTTGTTGATGCTAGTGCGTTTGCATTGCTTCCTCCTGGTCAACCTCAAGCCACAGTATATATGATGGCGGAGATGATTGCAGCCATGATCCTGGAGGATGCCTCGAAGCCAGAATCAATGAAACGGGAAGCACAGAGGCAGGGAAAGTCGTCGATTGATCTCGGGACTCAGGAATTGTGATTTTGGACTCTCTGGTCAAAAGTGTTTGAGGACATGTCGACAAACTTTCGCGATCATCCTTCGTATATGGTCGGTTTGTTTCCTGATTGTATCAAACAGTTTGCGGTGGTCTCTATCCCGTCAACACATATCGGATGTTGGATGTACTCAAACACGGAAGATCTCTGTCCGACCAGAGAAACCGCCTGATAGACTCCCATACGTTGGCCCAGTGCACGTGACATATAGTCTAGTCGATGTATAAAACGATCATAGGGTGTGGGGAGGAGCCGGGGTAAAGCGGGCACCAGGGAAGAAGTCGGGGAAGAGGCCGGGGGAATGGGGGCAGGTGTACATATATCGAGCAAACAGCATCTGTTTTGTCGAGTTTGGTGAAAAGTCCGGCAATGTTATTGTTAGATCATCTATCCCATAAGTTCCTGATACCAAAGTGGTCGCATTCCAAGTATCTCCACCAAAATCTGGTCAAAATTCCGTACTTGCTCAGGTGATATCATGGGGCCGAGATTCGTCGATTCTGTAAAGACGTTCTGTGAGGCAGTCAAGAGTGTGGGGGGTTTGGGGCTTGACATTGCCCCGACTTCCACACCCGAGAATCTTAGCTGGCGTGTACTCCGCAAATGTGACCCCGCGGTTGCCGTGGTACGTTATATGATTCATAAGCCTTTGACTTCATGACTTACTTCTGTCTACACACGTGCTCAGTCACTGTCTTACTTGTGGAATGGCAGTCATATCAAGTAGGTATATGTAAACAGCTTGTGGAAGCTTGTAACACTAACAGGTTCCCAGTCCTCGACACTGAGGAGGGTCCAGCGATTCTGATCTCGGCTGGGTTGCTTATAATTATCTACATCGTCAGCAAGGTACGCACATGACTAGCCCAGCGCATTATTGATCAGCATACAGGTCTAATAAATTTTTGCTAACAAACAGATCGTTGGCGAATTACGAAGTCCATTGAAACACCTTCCTGGTCCTATCTACACGCGTTTCACAGACAAAGTCCTGTTGTACAAGGCTGTCAAGGGCCAGAAGCTTGAGTACTTACATGACTTGACCTTGCGTTATGGTAAGTCACGAAAGGTTGCTTGAGGGAATTAAGATCGACAACATACTCTAGGCCCTCTGGTTAGAGCAACTGCCAAATCAGTTTTACTTGGAGACTCTCAAGACATCCGTGTGGTACTCTCCAAGCACACTCAATTCAACGAAAGTCAATGGTGGCATGACAGAGGTGGACTCCCAAGCTTCATCTCCGTGATTGATCCTGCAGAACACGCAGCAAGAAGACGTAAGTGGGGAAACATCTTCAGTAACTCCTCGATCCGTCAGTATCAAGATATCACGAAGCACAAGGTCAAACAGGCCATGAGCCAGATCAAGAGCGACATCAAGAAGGATGGAAAGGCCGATGTTTACAAGTGGTTCTGTCTTCTGGCATGCGACACTATCACAGAATTGCTGTTTGGCGAACCGTCCTACATGATTGTCAAAGGAGAAGTACACATTCCCGAAGTCTCAGAAGAGCGTCTGTCCCTGACACTGCCTTACAGAAAACTCCATTCATCAAAATCATCGAAGATTNACCTCTTCGCCGAAACGATTCGTCTTGACATTCCCGCCATGCATTGGGTCATGGGATGGTTTCCCAATTCTGTCGTGAACAGAGTCAATTCCAAAACCTTCACGCAAGAAGTGATTCCCCATGTCGCAAGGCTTCGTCATTCGCTCAAGGCTGGTGGCGGCTCGATGAATAAATCCTTGTTCGTGAACATCTTGACTGATGAGAAGGAAGCGGCAACGTCGGATGAAAAGTTCGCCCTGATCGCGAACGAACTGGTGTTTGCAGGCAGCGAAACTACATCCAGCAGTCTTTCATATCTCGTCTGGGCTGTCCTTGATCACAAAGATGTCCAGAAGAAGTTGGTTGCCGAGGTCGCTCAACTCGCCGACGATTACACCATCGCCGATCTGGAAAGGCTCCCATACCTTGACGCTGTACTCCATGAGACGATGAGAATGTATGGAGCTGCTTCTGGAAACATCCCCCGAGAGAGAACCGCACCGAGTGGATGGGACTTCCAAGGCACGTATTTTCCCCAAGGTACAGAGCTCGTGCTCCAAACACACACCATGCATCAAGACCCCAAGGTTTGTCCTGAGTCGGGAAGGTACGTATGAGCTACGTAAAGCGATTGGATCATCGAGGACTGATCCATCTGGAACTAGTTTCATTCCCCGAGCGGTGGCTTGAAGCGACCGCCGATATGAAAGCGACTTACATGCTTTTTAGTGGAGGCTCTCGCAGTACCTTACCAATGTCCTACCTTGATCAATCTTCAGATTTTGACTTAGTCTAAACCTAGCTTGTCTCGGAATGCACTTGGCGTATTTGGAAATGAGGCCGGCAATCGCAAAGTTCTTTAGAACTATTCCCGATGCCGAGTTGGACCCCAACCCCACGGCTGACGACATGACAATGATCAACTATGCGGTGAACTCGCCAAAGTCGAGATTTGTCAAGATATCTTGTGCGTCCGTATATAACTATTGATCGGCCTTTCCTCCACGAGACACCGGTCATATCTTGGGACTATACTTGTTTGTGATCGAAGGGATCTGATCTTCTGGTAAGAAGGACAAAAGACGATGCTTACCGGCACTTTTTTTTATCTGAGTAAAGCCCAAGTAGTTGATCTAAGGATTGGCAGAACGCCAAAGTCGGAAACAAAAGTCTAAGGAAACAAAGAACCCAGATCTGTTGGTCTTCAAGTCTAGAAGTTCTGCTACTTACTTGGTTCGGTGTTCATGCACATTTAATTACGCCATCACGCAGGTTCGAGACCCTCTTGGAACCAATTTGATGTGCTGTACAATAAAACAAGCACAGCTCGAAGCGTAAAGACAATACCAGATCGATAGAACCATAATTGACACTGGATAGTGTTAGTGAATAGTTTGGCCACGTGGAGTGGCAACAAATCAATGATGGAAATCGCGGAGTCCACGATGGGACCTCCCGCTACGGTAGGTCGAGAACTGTACCTGTAGTCATGCTCTCATTGACATACCAACAGATAGCCAGAATGGCCGGATGGCTCCGCGAGGATTCTTATGAGAATATTCAGCCGACTGCACAAGATGATGAAGATTCAATTGAGCAGAAATGGAGGCGCTGGGTGCATCAGGAGTCCAGGAAGAGGTATTGTTTATCTGACTCAATTGCGCCTGGTGATGCTGACAACCAGTCGCGTAGACTCTGTTATCAAGTGTTCCTTCTTGATGCGCAAGTATTCATGTCACGATTGATCAGCCTAACAATGTCATCCTCCGAGATGACATTGCCCTATCCGGAGAGCGACGCGCTGTGGTCGGCAGCAACACCTAACGAATGGAAGACAATCTACGAAAGCGAACAGACTCCTAAATCTAAGTTGTCACTGGCCAAGGGTCTTCGGAAACTTGCCGGCGACAGCTCCCAGGCAGCCGCCGAGAAGTCTCCATACCGCGACATGATCCTACTCCATGGTCTCTGGAGACTCGTCTGGGGTTATCGAGACATCGAGGAAATGTTGGAATCGGGAAGGCGCGACGCGGATGGTGCGACATTCCTGTTGCAAGTCCGGGCAGACGGCCTAGTAAAATTGCTGGGTAAGCTTCGCGCAGTGACTGTCATTGCGGACCATTCAAATGCCAAAAAGAACCTCTCGAGGTGACGCTCGTCCAGGAATTTGTTACCATGACCGTGCACGCCCCTTTACAACAACTGCAAGCCTTTGCTGGGAAGGATGGTGTTGCCACGGCTCAAAGAGTATATCCCTTGCTTGAAGAATGGACACGGTCTAAATCTGGTCGCCGAGCCCTTTGGCACGTCGGTCAAATCTTCAAGACTGCTCGAGCTATGGATCCAATGACTATGACTGAGATACGGGTCATGAACGTCTATCACGCAAGTCTAGTGTTCTGGACCTACAGTGTTATCGATAGTGCTCGCCATGAACGCAAACTATGCTCTGGTTCGGTCATCCCTGGTCATGGCCAATGATATATCTGGATGAGGACGAGGAGAGCGTCGTTCGCAGGTTCATCAATCTTGACGAGGGCGACCCGTGCCTGCACACCTTGCCGGATTCGTCGTCAAATGGTAGTGCAATGGCTGGACCCGAGATTGAGTTCATACCTTTGAGAAGCGCAAGCAAAATTCAGCGAATGGCAAGTCTTGTATTGAGCAGACAAGCGGGGGTGCGCTTGGGGCCTGTGATCCGCTTGCTGAAAGCACTGCACGTTTGATAAACATGGTAGAGAAAGGCTACTGTAAAGGCAGGCGTACTTCCATATTAGTGGGACATGTTATCCACTTCTTTCCGCTTTATATATCCAAGCTCCGAATCGGGTCATGACTGTCATGAGCAGTTTGTTGCTATTGATTACTTCTTCATAGCCACTCTGCTGAATCTGAACCTAGTGGCTTTGGCATAATGTCCCAACCGACCTCGCAGCCACTGACCTTGGCACTGTGTTTGACAGCGACCATGCGTCCAAAGCCAGTCTCTCTGCTCTCTAGATATTCGGCAGGTATCTCAGCTTGCTGTTTGTAGTCTCCGCATTGGAAGCCGCTTGAGCCATGGTATTGTCCAAGACTGCGTAGGTACTTCATCGTGCAGGCTAGAGAGACGTCTACCTGCCAGGCACCACCTTGGCAAGTGCGGTGGTAAAGTGCTGCGAGGACTCCAGTTGCAAGGAGGTATCCACTTGCATGGTCGAGAGCTTGACATGGCAATGGGCGGGCTGCTTCACCTCCGCCGGCATGTTGAGCTTCTGACACGTTCATTCCCGAGCATGTCTGAACCAATGAGTCGAACCCACGCTGACTGGCCCAAGGTCCGCTTGGTCCGAAAGCCGACATGTTACCCACCACAATATTTGGGTTGATGTTGGCCAGATCTTTTGGCGAAAGACCGTGTTGAGCGAGACTGCCTGGTCGAAATCCTTGAATGAAGACGTCACAATTTTTGATTAGTTCCAAGAGTTTGTCCTTGTCAGCTGGGTTGTGTATGTCTAGTTGGACTGTACGTTTCCCACGGCCGAATTCGCGGTCAATAGTTGGCAGATCCGGTAGATTTGGAGATGTGACCCAGATCACATCCGCGCCATGAGCAGCGAGGGTCTTGCCGCATAGAGGCGCTGCTATCACGCGACTCATCTCTAGGATGCGGAGGCCTTTTAGACATCTGGTCGCGCCCCTGAGTATCCGGTCTGGGAAGCCTTTGGTGCCATCGAGGGATATAGGATGGATGTTCACTGGATAGTCTGAGATAGCTCTCGCTTGAGGCAAAGGATCCCACTCGCTGTATGGGCGCAAGGCATAGGCTGCGAGATTACCCTTGACAGTCGCCGCGTCCTCGAGAGCAAGGCTTTGCCATTGGGCAATCTTATCGGCAAAATCTTCTCGAGTCGAATCTAGAGGAAGCCCGACCAGTTCCAACATACCGTTAGAGTGATTTGGAAACGAGTCGTGAACACGAATATATCCATCGGCAGTCCGGTGTAGTCCTCCTATCGCGTCACTCGATGCAGAAGGCGGCTGTCCGTCGGTGGTATAGAACCTCTCAGACTTGAACTCGATGACGGCGTGTCGCAGAGGAACTTCCACTCGCGGCACTTCGACCTCATTGCGCAATGCGTAGATCTGAGCGGCAGCAAGAGCAGACAAGGCGATGGAGGCTTGCGCGAGAAGTCCAAGCCGAAAAGACGACGGCAATGCTGGTTCGCTGCCACCCTCAAGAAGGATGCTCGACAGCGCCTCTGATGGAAGATCCAGTCTTTTCCATAGCTCCTCAACAACATCGCGTACATGATGCGAGGCGCGGTCCACCGTCACGAGGCCCTCTGCCGAGACGTCTGTACAGCCGCGCTCCGTGCCGGGCTTCATGTTCGTGCGTTATAGCGTAAGGAGAACAAGGAAAAAGGCGATCTCGGTGGCAGTAGTCAACGGCAGGAAATGTACCCGAAGACGTTCATTGCCGGTCCATCGCCTCATCGTCAACCGAGAGTCTACGCGGGAAACAAGGTGGAGAGGAGAGAGTGGGGTTGGGAGGTCGAGGCTGAGCGGCCGTTGCCGGATTGGGCTGTAGCCGAAATCTTGATCGACACGCCCAGCTCGAAGTTTGCACGCTCCATTCTTCCCTTCTCTGCTCACATCTCTCGTCTACATACGAGCACGATATGCATAAGGTTTGCTCATGACGGGCTCTGAAATATGGGTCTCTGGTTTAGTACCGGTGCGACTCAACCTTGGAAGCCTAATACGTCCAGGGTCGTCCTCAAAAGTTGAAGTATAGTACCACTATGCTATAACGATCGGACCAGAATGATGCTTCAGTATCGCTATATCGTGATTATCGTTCAATCGAGAGCTCTTGGCATTAGTTATGCCATGTATTTATGCAGATATGGATTGTTTATGTTTAATAGCAGCTTCCTCCCTCCTTTTCTTTGTTCCTTAGCGCACTGTGCCCTATTAAATATAGCGATAATTGGGTCTAGAGGTACCGATATATCGAGAAGGCGAGGAATAACGATAGTTGTATGAAGGATTTGTTAATTAGTTGAGGAAAATCGCTCAATCGAGGATATCGCTATACGGATGATTGCTATAACGAGAAGGGACTATAGCTGTTCGGCGTCCGTCGCCGGAACTGCTCCACCTACGACAGCACCAAGACGACCCCATTCGAACCATCACTTGAACGACGTCCACGCTACATGCACCAACGGTCGATGCTCCACATGGCTCGCTTCGTCGTCCCAGTCCTGTAGCCAAGATCAAGCGGACATCTACAGCGCACTGTTCTTGCAGGGATACACATGCTACATCACCCCGCAATGGAGGCCCGTGGGGAACCAAACCCATCATCATCCCTTGGAGACGGGGACCGTGCCACCTTGGTTCCCTGGATGTCTTCCGACACTCGGCATGGAAAGCAGGACCGGACTGCCGTTCGCATACATCGTTTGGACCGACCGTGTCTGACTTTTCTGACTCGCCATTGACGACTAACCATGTCAAATGATGCTTAGGTTTAAGCCTCCGAAGTATCTTGCGATACCAAGCACCCCACTGCTCAGCCTCTGACATGCCCTAGCTAGGGCTCGAAGAGATGGAGAATGTGAGTATAAGTAGACCTGCTGGGGCCACAGTCAGAGTGGCTTTGGAACCATCAGAATTTAACTCCAGATGTATACTCTGAAATCTGGTGTTGTAGCTCTTGTCCTTCTTGGACAGGGTGTCGCTGCCCAGAATTACCAAAATTCCTCTTCTTCATCATGGGACCACTCTCTCTACACCAGCAGCCCGGGTGTCTTCCCTAGCNCGTATGTGCTTCGACTCGACCTCCGATCGCTCTGCTGATATGACCCAGCAAACACAACTGGTATTGGTTGGGAAGAAGCTCTCCAAAAGGCCAAGCAATGGGTTTCGCAGTTGACTCTGGAAGAGAAAGTCGGTGTGCTCACTGGAGAGCCAAACGGGCCATGCATTGGTATGTTCATCCTCTTACACTCATATCGATATGCTTAGAAACCACAGNGTAACATCGCCGCTATTCCCCGCGTTGGATTTCCCGGGCTCTGTTTACAAGACGGCCCTTTGGCCATCAGACAAGCAACATTTGCTTCGGTCTTCCCGGCGGGTGTCGCAGCTGCTTCTTCGTGGGATCGTGATTTGATTCGCCAAAGAGGCGAGTATATGGGAACCGAGTTCAGAGGAAAGGGATCGCATGTAGCCTTGGGCCCTGTGGTAAGAAAGCCGACGGTCTCAGTTGGTATTGTGCTAATTTCTCACAGGNCTGGACCACTTGGAAGATCAGCCGATGCTGGCCGTGGGTGGGAGGGGTTCTCACCAGACCCATACCTTACTGGTGTGGCCATGGAGGAGACTATTGAAGCTATCCAAGAGGCTGGTGTTCAAGCTTGTGCAAAGCACTTCATCGGCAACGAGCAGGAGACTCAGAGAAATCCTGGACCTTCGCCCACAAACAAGACCATCGAAGCTGTCTCCGCAAATATCGATGACAGAACCATGCACGAGCTTTACATGTGGCCATTTGCTAATGCTGTCAAGGCTGGAGTTTCTTCCATGATGGTGAGTCGGCAGCTCAGAGTAAACGTTTCACAAAATGCTGATCGCCACACAGNNTGCTCTTACAACAGACTGAACGGATCTTACGCCTGCCAGAACAGCAAGGCCATCAATGGCCTCCTCAAGGAAGAGCTCGGCTTTCAAGGATATGTCATGTCTGACTGGGGGGCAACCCATGGAGGTGTCGCTAATGCCGAAGCTGGTATGGATATGGACATGCCTGGTACCATCGCTTTCTTCCAAGCCGGATCCTCTTACTGGGGACAGAATCTTACCAACGCTGTCAACAATGGTACCGTTCCCGAGTCGAGAATCGACGACGCCGCCCACAGAATCATGACACCTTACTTCTTCTTGGGACAGGACCAGGACTACCCTTTGATCGACCCCAGCAGTGGTGATATCAACATTCTTGGAATCAAGCCTTACCTCGACACCTTCCAGTATGGTGAGGCAAATGTCGATGTTCGCGGTAATCATGCAGACCTCATCAGAAAGCTGGGATCCGCTGGTACTATTCTTTTGAAGAACACAAATAATGCCTTGCCTCTTAACAAGCCCAAAAACATTGCCGTGTTCGGTAATGATGCCAGTGACCCAGAAAATGGTCTCTACTCGTTGTCTCTAGTGGGCAATGGCGATTATGAATATGGCCATCTTCCAGTCGGTTCGTAATCCCAAGCACAAAAAGTTAGATGTCTGCTAACACATTTTTAGNGCGGCGGGTCGGGTACTGGTCGTTTGACCTATCTGTCAACTCCTCTGGACGCTCTGAAGGCTCGTACCAAGCAGGATGGCACTCTCTTGCAGTGGAACATGAACAACACCGCCTTGACGGACCCTACTCCGGGAGCTGCTTTCGGCGCAATCTTCCCTCGCCCTGACACCTGCATCGTTCTCATCAAGACATGGGCTGCAGAAGGCACCGACAAGGTGAACCTGCTTCCTGACTGGCAGGGTAATGACGTTGTGACGGCAGTTGCAAACTACTGCAACAACACCATTGTCGTGACCCACACCTCGGGCCCTATTGTCATGCCCTGGGCTGATCACCCTAATGTCACCGCAATCCTCGCGGCGCACTTCCCCGGAGAGCAATCAGGTAACAGCTTGGTCGATGTCTTGTACGGCGACTATAACCCTAGTGGAAAACTTCCCTACACTGTCGCCTACAACGAGTCCGACTATGCTTTCGCTCGCGTCGTCAATTCTACCGAGTTGAAGCTCACTGAGGACCCCAATGCCTGGCAAGCAGACTTTGAGGAAGGCCTTCTTATTGACTACCGCCACTACGACTACTACAACCTCTCTGTGCAGTACGAATTTGGTTATGGGCTCTCGTACACCAATTTCTCCATGTCGGAAGTCAATGTCAAGCGTCTCGCTCCCCAGAACCTGACTGCTCGCCCCGCACTTGCTAGCACTATGCCTGGTGGCAACCCCACTCTCTACGATACCATCTACGAAATCACTGTCAAGGTCAAGAACACTGGCTCGATTGCTGGTGACGCCATTCCCCAACTCTACCTCTCTCAGCCCGTCGATGCCTCTTTCGGCCGCACTCCCATTCAGGTCCTCAGAGGTTTCGACAAGGTTGCTCTCGGTGCTGGCCAGACCAGAACCGTCACTTTCCCTCTCATGAGAAGAGATTTGAGTTTCTGGGATGCCATACAGCAGCAGTGGATCATTCCATCTGGTCAATTTGGTGTTAGAGCCGGATTCAGCAGCAGAGATATCCAAGTCACTTCTGGCTTCAGCGTCTTGTAGAAGATATGTCGAACGAATTGATGTGCACATTACCTCAAGCTCATGTACATACGACCTCAATTCACATTCAAGTAACGATTATACTTCTTGCAGACCAGGTATACTTTCTCTGTGTGCAAATTGCTAATCCACCACTTTTCTACAACACAGTGTCGTAAAGATTATAGAGCGAAAATAGGCCTCCCGCGTATGGAAGCGTGTTGTACGACAGCTTTGCGTCATGAGTCACGTCAACTTGGTAAGTGCTTGCCCTACAGAGTCCCAGGGGATCGGAACAATGTTTACCAATATGCTAGAGGGCGGGACTACAAGTAGTGATCCGCGTGTAAAGGTTGATGTAGCGGCGGATGGGTCTGTGATCTGGAGGACTGATTCAGTTTAGTCATACCTAGGACATTTTGGAAAGCATGAACATAGCGTGGTTCCTTTCGATTGTTTCCATCTCTTCTCTCGATAGACAAATAGTCGATGGAAAGAACGTAAATATCTCGTTCCTGCTGATACGGGCAAGGCAAGGAAAACTACAATGCGAAATTGAAAAGACATTGACATATGCAGACTTTTGAATTGTCGTTTCATTCTCTTGTGTAATTATTATAGCAGTCACAAAACTGCGTCGTGGACTTTCATCATCTCGTTGAGTCTTTTCGTCAGCACCTGCGAAGCAGCACCACAGAAATTGGGCTAGCGACCCATAGATGGCACGCATCACATGCCGAGAAAAACATCTGGCTTCGTGTCTCTTCTAGTAGATCTTCTGCTGGCCATAGATGGTACCATTGCCGGTGAAGTTGCCAGTCTGGGTGGTAAAGTCGCCATCGTAGGCAAGAGAGTCGATACGCCCGAGGAGCAGCTCAATGGAACGGTAGGCGGCACCAGGGGCGTAGCCAGGGAGCTCGTGGCCGGCAAGCTGAACTGAGTAGAAGGTGAGACCTCTTTCGGAACCGTAGTATCCAACCTTGCCGGCTCCGGAGAGGGCACCGCCGTTGTACTCGGGGTGGTAAGGGACATCGAATTCCTTGCCGGGGTATTCCTGCAGACCTTGCTTTCCGTTCCAAGACATACCTTGGATGGCAAGCAGGGTACCGTTGGTAGAGAGGAGCATGTCAAGATTACCGGAACCGATGATGGTATTGTTTGTGTACTCAATGACACGCTGGAGAGTGCCGTCAAGAGCAGGACCCTTGCTGGTATCGCTCAAGGATTGGTTGTTGGTGGCACCACCGAAGACGTTGATCTTGGTGCATTGCTGCCAGTTGGTACCGACAGGAGCGTTGATGGCCTTCTGAACATCGGTGCGGTTGAAGTAGACGACTTCTCCAGAAGGAATATAATCACCAGTGTTGACACCTCCGAGGACCGACCAAGGGTGAGGGCAGGTCTCAGTGATGTGGTAGATGTTGAAGCAGGGGTTGACCAGAAGGATGGCCTCGTAAACGGTGTCGAACATGTCGCAGGCATATGTGTCAGAGTTGTAAGGGTCGGGAAGGATGGGGAACTTCTCCTGAGGAGGAGGGAAGGTGAGGTATTTCTCCAGGTACGATGTGTAGTTGCACTGGTCGGCACGGTCGTGGATCTGCTGCAAGAAGGTCTCGTTGAGGTAGATGAGATTCTCCCAGTAGTCGACGAAAGGAACGATGACAGCCTGCTGCTGGGCGGTCTCATCACCAATGATGGGGTCGTTGATAGCAATACCCTTGAGGTTGTAGTAGACAGTGTCGGCAGCATTGATGAAGGCGTCGGCAATGTAAGGCACGTAGAAGCCAGCGTAAGATTCACCAGTCAGGTAGACCTTCCAGTTCTGCAGACTGAAGGTGTCGACGAACTGCTTGTAGAAGCCGATGAACTCGAGACCGAGCTCGACCTCGTTGGTGATGTTGGGCACACCCTGAGAGAAGCCGACACCAACGGGTTGTTCGACCCAAAGCATGTTGGTGAGGTTGGACCAGGCATAGGGATTCTGAACAGGTTCAAGAGTTCCAGCTTCCCAAGTAAATGGACCGTTCTCTGTCAAGAGACCGCTGAGCGAACTGCAGCCAGGGCCACCGTTGAACCAGATGGCAATCTCTTCCGTGGCATTGGGGTTGGTCGAAGGGAAGAACCAGAAGAAGAGCTCGCGAGTCTCGTTTGCGGCGCCACTGATGGGCAGGAGACCAGCGTACGACTCGCCAACGTCGAACTTGACATCGGGGATGGCTGATCCGTTGACCCAGAACNNTCTGCAAGTGCATTAGCTGCTGTACGACGAGTCTTCGTTTTTGAGAAGGAACAACATACTCTCAGTCACGTTGTTGAGGTACGGCGAAGCTCTCTTTTGGAGCCTGGGGTGTTCAAAAGGCTTGCCAATTTCTCTCTTCTCGATGATAGGAGCCTTTGCTCTCAGTTGCTCGGCGCGTTCAAANAGATCGCGGCCAGGCGATGAGGCACTGACCGAGGCAGCCAGCCCAAGGGCGGCGCCAATCTGGAGTAGCGAAAAGCGCATGATAAAGATGCCGGAAACAGTACTCCAAGGATTTTAGATGCTCAGAGGAAGTTCAAAGGGACGTGGGCATGGCAGTGTTTATAGCACGCTCGATTGCACCTTCCCGTGCTCGCGTGCCACGCAGCAAATCGCGCAGTCGCATCGCCTGTCAACAATCGCATAGCTCTGCAGTGATCTTTTCCAGCTTAGGCAGGTTGAAGTTGAACATTCTCGTAAATAGAGATAAACGATGAAGTCATGGCCCATATCCTGGGGATACATCCGGGGCTAATGGAATAGCACCTGCCCAGGAAAGCTTAGAGGATGGGTCGAGTTGGACTTGGATTGCTTGACCATGACAATCCGAGGCCTAGCGGGCCGATGTGTGCTATATTACACCATCACATCATGGCGATGCGTGATAGCCGGATCGAGAGACGCGACAGATACGTGCACGTATTTTTTGGTGTTGATAGGAACGACCGGACGTCTTGTCGCAAGCTTCGAGGGGAAGCACAGCAGTTCGCCAAGCCACAAAAAGTGGGTCCTTGCAGCAATGCATCTTTCACCGACAAGAATCAAGAATTCGAGATGCACGCAACAAGAACAAATCTGTAAATGCCCGCTGAACTCCGTGAACTCGCATACACGGGCAGCAGCAGATACAAGATTTTATGTAAAACATCCTGGTCTGTCACATCGACAAGCCAATTTCGCTCTGTATCTCTGACTTTTGTTTTTGTATCACATCGCGTGCATGTCCTAGACGACACGCGAGGAATGTCGAGATCATGATCATCATGATAATTGTCCAGAATCCATCCTTCACCACGGGATTACCCAAGCAACAATTGCCCAATTGTCATCTGCTACTTTTTCCACCAGAATCCCGTTTGATCCATCTGCTGACGCCGCGACGAGTTCTTGCAGGTGGAGTTTGCTTTTCTTACTCACAAACTGTACGAACAGAGTCGTGAGCCTATGTTTTCCATCAGACCAGCATGGTCAAGCTTCTCTTCCCGTCCATCGAGCCAGCTGGTACAGTTGAAGCAACGCTTTGCCNNTGTTCGTAGTCAGCAGTCATGCCATCGATGGAGGAGATACAACCTCTTCAGCCATACCTTCAAGCTAATTTTCTTGCGACAGTACTGGCACTTCGTCTCGTGCTTAATAATGGTCTCATCATCACTGGCATAGATGTACAGTCTGACTATAGCATACAGCGCAAGGCCGATACCCAAGAACTTGAACACCTTGTTCATGAAAGCNACTGAGTTGCCAAAGTCAGCCCATTGATCCTTGATAAAATCCCAAACTGCTATCCGCACGGCAAGAAGGAAACGAATTGGGCCTCTGAGTGAAAAGAAACAAACTTACCCATAAGCCATAACAACAGCCCCATCTTCTAGTGCCTGCTGAACGGTGTTGTATCCCAAAGTCGCATTTTGACCATGTCTCAGAGTCGCAAATCTCTCATCCAGGTTGCGACTCAAGAATGGTAACAATGAGATTGGTGGCAACAAGATATCGCTGACGAAACTGGAGACCACGGTACCGAATGCTGCAGCGAGGATAAGTCCTACCGCTACTTCAAGCACATTATCTCTGAGCGCAAAATCGCAAAAGTCGTTCCAGGTGCTGCTTAATGCTTTCCGGGAGCTGGCTGTGGTGGGGAGAAGAGGCGTGGTCGGATTCACGGCCATTCTCTCTGGTTTCTTGGTCTTCTTGAGAAAGTTCGGGAACATAACGGTCGATTCAGAGCAGAGGTAGTGAACTTTCAATGAATGCGATGTCGTTTTGTGGAAAGAAGAAGGAGTTGAGAGCGGTGTTTCGTCTCGCGGAAATTTGGCAAGGGAGTCGGTGTGCGAGTAAGGCGACCTACCTTTTGACACACGCTACATCGAGGCATCAGTCTCGAACCTTAGTCAGATGCTTCACGGGAGACATGGCATTCCTTGCTATTCGCACATGAAGACAAGTTGGCACGTCTTCGACATTTCTGTGTGCTTGCAAAATGGCGGTCGCACAGACCATCTCAAATCCCCCTCTTTTCGCGAAAGAGCTTCTGCCGTAAGAACATGTGCCTCGGCGGCATTGAATAGCGATTGCCTATCATGATGAATTTGGAGGATTCTGTGGCGTCTACTCATCGGTCTTCATGACGATAAGAGTGCCATCGAGTGTCCAGGCAGCAGTTTAATGCTCGATTCATCCCACATTTTTCTCTGCCGGCAGATCTCGCTGCCTATGATACGGCATCACTGCACAGAGAATCGCCAACAACCTTGGCTACTACGAATTAGTTCAGTAATATTCAAGCAGCGTCGACTGGCTTGCACCTGGGTCAGAACGTCTTCTCGAGACAAACAATGATGTCTTCTGAAAAGGCAGCAAGAATGGAGCTGCGCTTTCCGATGGGAAAGCGACTCACGTCGACTGGACCAGACAAAATTCGTTCACGGTATATGCTACTGATATGTGCGATACTTCTGGCATCGCTATACCACTGGTCAAGAGCAGCACAATTCTTTCTGCCCTCAGCAATGAAGCACGAAGAAAACAAGGCTACTTCTACTGATGTCTTTGACTGGGAGACTCTGGAGTCCTCAACTTCGCTACAATACTCATGTTGTTACGAGAAGTATCAATGCGCTCGCTTGATCTTGCCAATGGACTATTGGAACGGTACAACAAATGCTACAGTAACTCTCGCTCTGATCAAAAAACCTGCCGCCGTGCCCGTCACACATCCCAACTACGGCGGTGCTGTTATTCTGCAACCTGGTGGCCCTGGAGCTCACGGTGTTCAGTTTGGACTCAGAGTCGGAGAGCAGATTAGCAATCTACTAGACGCCCCCAACTACGACGATGAAGGCAAGTATTTTGACCTGATCTCGTTCGATCCACGGGGAATTGGTCTGTCTACACCCAGAATTACATGTTTCCAGGGGAACCCGATTCTGGAACAAGTTTGGGGTATCCGCGATTGGGAGCTGGGTTCGTTCAGTGCCTCGGATGTCGCTTTTGGACGTCTCTGGGCGATGTCTAGAGCGAAAGGCGAAAGCTGTGCTATCACCTCTGACGAGCCTGATATCAAGAGATATGTCACGACTGCCTATGTCGCCCGCGATATTCTGGAGATTATCGAGAAGCATGGCCAGTGGCGAGAGAACGAAGCAACGCGACTGCTGACAAACGATCACTCTGGGACTCATGAGGTCGACAGGTTATCTCAGATCAGTTATCGGCCAGCTCAGGAAAAACTTCTGTACTGGGGCTTCAGCTACGGGACCTACATCGGATCCACCTTTGCCGCAATGTACCCTGACAGAGTTGGGCGTCTCGTGCTGGATGGTGTGGTCGATGTGATGGACAATCTACAGATCGCATGGTATACTGACTTGGCCGATACCGAAAAGACTATGAACTCCTTCTACCACTACTGCGCTGAGGCAGGGTACCCTACGTGCGCTCTGGCGAACCCAGATGGCGACACTAATGCAAAGTCTGTCAGGCAAAGAACCCTCGCCGTGATCGAGAAACTCCGCTACGACCCCGTAGCGGTCATANGCCCGAATCCGGAAGTCATCACCTCTAACGACCTACGGATGCTCATCTTCTCGAGTTTGTACAAGCCTGTAAAGATGTTCCCGACCCTTGCAGACACGCTCGCGGACCTTGAGAAAGGCAATGGAAGCAGTGCCGCACAGATGCTGCGACCATACCATGCCATGGAATGTCGAGCGGCCTCGTCTGTCGAACAGGTTTTCGACCTTGACGCCCAGACAGTGATTACCTGCACCGATGGCGACGACCAAACGGGTATGAATCGCACGGATTTCGAAAAATTCGCCACACGGCTTATGGAAATTTCTCCCACCATCGGCGATTCGTGGGCAGCCATCCGTATGCACTGTATACATCACCCCTTACGCCCGCAATATCGCTACACTGGACCCTGGGAAGTGTCTCCTGCGCAGCCAATCCTCTTTATTGGCAATACAGCTGATCCAGTGACACCATTGATCAATGCCTTTAAGATGGCAGACCGTATCAAAGATAGCGTCGTCTTGGTGCAAGACTCGCCGGGACATGCTACGTTGGCTGCGTATAGCAAGTGCACTACGCAATATGTGCGGCAATATTTCACGACAGGGGAACTGCCAGAACACAATACGACTTGTCAATCGGATGAGAAGCCATTTGAGTTGGGAGAAATTGCACTGAGGTCGAATGCCCACACACAACATATGGAGATTGCAGAAGCTTTCACAAAGTACGGATTGGGCCTGCGTGTATGAGTGGACCACATAAGCTGCGAAGGTATCGATATCCATAGAAACTTGAGATTAGGAGGGTCGATAGAAGACGACGATTTGCATATGACCTTCAGCCAGATGCCCTTGAATTTGATGAATCCTATTATATATGATAGGTAAATTCCATGCATGGAGCACGTACGGCCACAGTCAGCTGAAAATTGGGCATCCCGTCCGCTCTGCCATACATAAGCAGTTGAACGGCAGATTAGTACTACGGTGGGTGACCACGTGGGAATCCCTGCTGCTGTACGTTATGTTTTGTTTTGTTCTGCCAACCTGATTTGATCTTTTGTCTCTAGTGACATGTAGCAGGTTCGTCTTTGTAATAGACGTTAAAGTGCCTCGTGTTCGACTCTGAGCTTCACTAGGTCATAGGGCGGGAATGATTCTGCCATGTCTTTCTAAATGATAGTCCCGCTAGCTTAAAGATCCCTCTACTCTTCTCTTAAGGCGTTATATCTAGACACTATTCCGCTATGCTTGCAAAGAGTTGCAGACATCTTATGTATCCGTCCCGATCGAGTTAGCGGTAAGATTAAGAAGTCTTGGCAGATTGTGTCAGCATTGTTACTATCACAATGCTGAGGCGACGATGACTGAGAATTACCCATTACTGCGTTTCAAGCTCTCTTACTACTTCGACACGGCTATGATCCAAAACTTTGCACGACGTGAGTGTCGCTGAGGAAGGTCCGAAGAGTGGTGCCTACTGCCCACCCATTCCGTGCAGATAGGCCAACCCCACCTTTCCGCCTCGGCGAAAGATAGGCCTCCTCCTTTTTTGCTGCATTGATGAATCGTGCGACGGGCGACAACATACAATGTTTTCCGTTGTCGGGGAAGTTTGCAGAGATATGGCTCGGGAATTTGATAAGCTTCCGGTTGAGGCGTCAGGGCAGAAGCTGACGGCCGGGCGACGATAACGGATCTTGACTTCCTCATTCTGTCGAGCGTTTCTGTCTATATCTGCTACTGAAGACTTCGAGATTCGTATTTCGTATCAACGCATACGGCAACATGTCTAACTCTCTAGATACCAATGGGGACGGTTGCTCAACAGATTCTGCATCCAGCGAGGATTTCGATGTCGTCGTCATTGGCGCCGGACTCGCCGGTCTAACAGCAGCTCGCGATATCCTCAAGGCAGGTCTATCATGTATCATCCTAGAAGCCAGAGATCGCGTCGGCGGCAAGACTTGGAGTCAAGAGCTTCCCGATGGAAAAGGAACCGTTGATCTAGGAGCTGCTTGGATCAACGATGTGAATCAGACTCAAGTGTATGCGTTGGCCAAGCAATACAATGCTGAGTTCATCGAGCAAAACACTATCGGCAATTGTGCTATTCAAGATGCCAGTGGTAAAGTCTCAAGTTTTGCATATGGTGAATTGCCACCTGTAAGTTTTGGACTCCATCTGTACGGAGTGAACCATGGGCTAATTTACCNNCAGTTCGATGATGCAGCAAAGGAAGATGTTGTACGTATCCGCGACATGTGCGAAGCAGATTGTCAAAATTTGGACACGTTCAATCCTAGCGACAAGACTCTGGACTCGATGAGTTTTGAAGCATATCTCCAATCACGAGGCGCCAGTGAAACGAGCATGTCTACAGCGACCGTCTGGACACGGGCGATGCTTGGACAAGAACCCAAAGATCTGTCGGCATTGTACTTTCTGAATTACTGCAAATCTGGAGGTGGTCTTTTGCAGATGCGGTCGGACCGCAAAGGTGGTGGCCAGCATCTTCGTGTTCGTCAGGGCATGCAGTTGTTTTCGAAAGGACTGGCCAGTGATATGGCAGATGGTGTGATACGTCTATCAACCCCGGTGACGGCAATCAAGAACAATACTGGAAGTGGCGCTGTCGAAGTACACACTGGAGATTCAGTCATACGTGCCCACAAAGTCATCACAACCGTCCCAACACCAGTCCTCAAGAACATTTCCTTTTCGCCAGACTTACCCTCGAGCAAGCGAACATGGATCGAATCGACAACTTACGGTTACTACACAAAAGCCATGATGGTCTTCCGCACACCATTCTGGGTCGAGAGTGGTTTCTGCGGCCTCACACAATCATTCATCGGTCCCGCAGGCGTAATACGCGACACCAGTTCTCCAGCAGATAACAAGCACATCTTGACCTGTTTCCTAGGCGGCTCCCCTGGCTTCGCATGGTCATCTCTATCAGAAGCGGACCGCGAACAGAGTCTCCTAAAGCAAATCGGTCAACTGTTCAACGCTAAAGACATTGTTGAGAACGAGTTCATTCAACTGGTTACTTATGAATGGATCAAGGATGAATATTCTGGTTGGGGATGTCCTTGCACTGGATTGCCTCTTGGTGTGCTTTCTTCGCTTGGAGGCGGAAGTTTGAGGGAGCCATGGAACGATTTGCATTTTGCTGGTACAGAGACTGCTGGAGAGTGGAAGGGGTATATGGAAGGTGCTGTGCGGAGTGGCGAGCGTGCGGCCGCGGAAGTCATCAAAGATCTTCGGATATAATCTAGACGACGTGTATGTGGCTATTTCCAGGATATGCGAAGATGCACATGTACATTGCTGTCGTCGATTACGGCCGTATCTAGGGCTATCTTCAGATTGCCTCGGTAGGATCTTCACAAGACCCCTTTGCTTGTTCCTTCCTTCCCATCAGAGATCTCCAAAGAGTATTACTAAGTTGGGGACCTCTGATCCTTCGCGTGAAAGCTTCTTTGATCTACCTTTATCGTTGTCATATCTAGACAAGCTCGTGATTTGTATCGAGCGACGATCCGCTCCTTCAAGGGTGTCCTGTATATGAACATCATCGTGGAAACCTGCATTGTACAATTGCAAGCCACACAAAATACACTTTCCAGAAACAAGCCCGCAAATATGGAGAAGTTGACAACCAACACGACAACTATACCAGGCTTATCTAACAGGATAAATGTCCACGATATCGGCGCCATCACAAATTCATCATCAAACACCCCACTACTCAAGCAAAATCTACTCTTCATCAGCACACCAATCGAGTTCGCTGCTACCTCCGACAAACAACACCTTCGAGAAGATCTCAAGCTCAATACAATCGTCAACACACTCCCCAGACCAGGCGGCCCATACTACACCCACTCTGGTCCCACCCTAGCAAAGAAGACCGAAGACTTTGCCCTCGAAGACGTATTAGGTCTAACATCCTGCCATGTAATATTCCGCTACGACGAATTCATAAAAAATGCAATGAGGGAAATGACACCATGGTCCNAATTTGTAAGTTTTCCCCCACCAAAACACAAAATGCTCATCTAAATCCCCACCTAGCTGATATAACGAAAAAGCAAATTCAATTGGGAAGCAAGTATAACAAACAACCGTAAAGACCCGGCTCTACTGGAAAAAAGCAGAGATTTACTCTGGAAACGGAGTAATATTGACGACAACACTTTGGTCCTCATTGTATCCGCCCCACTCGTAGCCAGACTATTCAACGAGCTGCTGTGTAAACCTCACTTTTATCCTCTACTCATCAGTGGCGACCGCATCATCAGAGACCCTAGCTTGATCATCTTTCTCCTACTCTTGGTCCTCGAAACTCCCTTCTCGGTAATCGAAACTGCGTATATGAGAATCAGTGAAGGGCTGCCGTTCAGGATTAATGAGAAAAGTGATGATCAGTGGGAAAAAGATGTTCGGTTTGAGGCAAGTGCTTGGAAGCAAGCAAGGCCACGGTGGGCAAGGGTGTTGAGGCAGCGATTGGAAGGCAGATATGGTTCTGTGGAAGCGTATTTCACTGCCATTGGCGTGACGGAGGCGACGAGGATTAGCATCAAGGATATCTTGTTGGCCGGCGAGGCTAAAGATCTCATCGACTTTTCATAGAACACCAAGTCTCGCACAAATCCTTCGCAAAAAGAAAACACATATGGCAACTCAAGGAAAGTTGAAGTGCTTAGAGTGTCTTTGATGATATCAGATGGATGCTACGTCTCTAATTCTTACATGTACAGCGATGCTGTAGCACAGATATCGCGCTTGATCATCTCCTGGCAAGTCTGCATCTTGGTGAACAACGTAGGGTCACCAATGATTCTTGCCGCATTCTTGACTTCTCTGCAAGTCTCATCCAGACGCGTAATCACACGCACAATAGTCCCCTCCATCACATCTGTCAAGTCGGTGATACGGTTGAAGGACATACCGCGTGCCCACTCATAGATGACTTCGACAAGTCCGAATCTAGGTCTGCTGACAAAGTCGTTCGAGTCATCTGCGGAGAGAATGACTTGGTGGAGGGTTTGATAGTGGTTGACCTTTTCGGAAATCTTGATGATGGTCTCTTGTCCGCGCACCAAGGCTGGTGTCATGGTTGGGATCTGGTCGGTCTTTTCCTGGAACACAAAGGCAGAGAGCAATGCTACAATCTCTTCGGGTTCGTAATCAGCAAGTACGTTTTCGAGAACCAGTTCGGTGAGTACGAGCTCATCGGCAGAATGGATTTCACAGGCGACCTTGCCCTTGAGTTCGACGCGCGAGTTTTCGTCCACGAAGCCGAGGTCCTTGAGGACTGCGATACGTTGCTCGTAGTCGGGTAGCAATTGCAGGTTCTGGTCCGACATCAAGGCGCGCAGCTGGTTGATGTTCTCTTTGATGAGCCATTCGTCATGCATCATGGCAAAGTGCTTGTCCAGGTTATCGCAAAGCACGCTCTCCTTATTCTCCTGAGCGTCGTATGCTGCCTTGGTGCGCTCATCCAAGATGTTGCGGATACCGATTTCCTTGATTCTAGAGTAGTCGGCTTCCTGCCAGGTGGCGGATGTCCAGCTAGAGCATGCGCCCAACAACTGCTCCTTCACTTGCTCCATGGCTTCTGGCATCTTGCTTGACGCCCCAGTGACGTCAAACTGCAGGGTACTGCCAGTCAAGCACTCAAGCTCACTGTATGGCACTGTCGCGAGTCTAAGCTTCATCTGCTCAGGAGCTGCAGGCTGTGGGTTAAAACGACGTCTGTATCGAGGAAGGTAAGGCAGTAGATCGGCGTTTTGTCTCTTCGACTTTGAAGGAACAACTTCCATCACCGACAGACTTGGCGAGATGCCCTTGGACACGCCTTCGCGAAGCAGAACACCGACTGTCCGAATACCGTCTCTCTTATACACAACCAATCTCTTGGGTTGCAGCATTCTTCTACCAATCGGTGAGCCCAGAAGAGCGAGGTGCAAGTCCGAGGTGAGTTGCTGGTATCTCATGGCTGCGGTATGGCATTCTTCCAGGTCTTTGTCGCAAATGTCGCAAGGCTCTCTCTTGATCTTCGCGAGATCTGCTTCTGACAGCTTGACCTTTTGTTCATGCTCAGGCAACAATGCTTGAGTCGCGTTCTCACTGAAACTGCGCTTGATCATCTCTTCGATCTTGAGAGCTTCCACACGGAGAAGGTTCAAGATCATGTTGTAGGTGAGTCTGAACTGCGATCGGAGTTTGGTTGGATCACCCAACATCATCTGTCTCAGTCGACCAGCTGGTGGTGCTTCGTCGGCACCAGGAGCGACGATGATGACCGAACCAACAGGGTCCAGACCTCTTCTTCCTGCTCTACCAGCCATTTGTGTATACTCTCCGGGCAAGAGGTCGCGGAACTGACGTCCATCATGCTTTCGGTACCCAGAGAAGACGACTGTTCTGGTTGGCAAGTTCAGTCCCATAGCGAAGGTCTCGGTAGCGAACAGAACTTTAACCAGGGTCTTGGCGAACAGGATCTCGACACACTCCTTGACGATAGGTAGCATACCACCGTGATGAACTGCGATACCTCTGCTAAGCAACTCGCGTAGACGACGGATCTGTGGCAGCTGGCGGTCCTCCGGCTTCAGTCGAGCAAGCGACTTTTCCAAGATCATGTGAATGGCACTCTTCTCGGTTGCAGTGCAGTAATCCAGGTTCGAGAGGGCCTCTGCGTTTTCCTCACATCTCTTCTTGGAGAAGACGAAGATACACGCGGGAAGCAGATCCTCTTTCCGCAGGTGCTGAATCAAGTGCACCCAAATGTTACGATCTTGAGCTGCTGTCGTTCTACCGCCTCCACGGCCGGTACGGGCAATGTTACCTTGACCACGCTGAGCAGGTGCACCTTCACGACCGCGTTGCTGCGCTCCGCCACGCTGGGCGCCACCTCTCTGTGGACCGCCACGTTGCGTCTGGCCACGACCACCTCTTTGCGAACCACCACCTCTAGCGGCGGCAGCAGCTGCCTCTTGCTTCTCTTCAGCTGCCTTGATCTTGTCTTTGCCGGACAGAACATCATTCGCATCCTTCCAGCCTTTTTCAATAAACTGCTTGTCGGAGTTGACGATCTTGTACATCTCTTTGCCTGCCCATAGATAATGTTCCAGAGGCACTGGACGTTTGGGTGTCGATATGACGTAGATGTTCTTCTTCTTGGTGCGGCCAACCCATGAAGCAAATTCGAGAGTGTTGGGTACAGTAGCAGAGAGCAAAATAAGAGTGACGTGCTCGGGCAACATGATGATGACTTCCTCCCAGACAACACCTCTCTCCAAATCGTTGACGTAGTGGACCTCGTCGAAGATGACAAACTCGACATCACGGATAATGTCCGCTCCTCGGTAGAGCATACTTCGCAGGATCTCAGTAGTCATAATTAAACAGCTTGCCTCGGGACGAATCTGAACATCACCAGTCAGAATACCAACATCGTCAAATTCTTGACGAAAGTCTCTGAACTTTTGGTTACTCAGAGCCTTGATAGGCGAAGTATAGATGGCCTTGGTCATATGCTTGGCTGCCAATGCAATGGCATATTCTGCAACAACTGTCTTTCCGGCAGAAGTGTGAGCAGCAACGAAGACAGAATCGCCATTTTCCAAATGATAGATGGCTTCCTTCTGGAAAGTGTCGGGTTCAAAAGGCCATTCGCGGGCCATCTCTGGAACCAAATCTCTGAAGTTGGGCATTGGCCGATTAACGTCGACCATGTGAGCCCATTCATGACCAGATCTCTTGTTGCTTGACAGACCTAGGTGACCTCTGGCGGCTAGTGCAGGAAATTCGACCGGGAGAAGGGCGTCCAACTCTTCTTCGTCTTCTTCTTCTTCTTCTTCGTCCTCATCCGCAGGAGCAGCCTCGTCAGCAACATCTCCATTGGCGGCAACAGGATCCTGAGCCTCTTCTTCCAGTACATTCTCGACTTCTTGGGCAGTTGCCTGGTCTGTGGGAGCTTTCTTCTGTAGATCCAGTCCACGGGTAAATCCAGGAGGAAGCTCGAGTAGTGCGCCATCGGGTCCGAAGTTGATGACTTTGTCCAGTCCACTTTGCTTGACAGTACCATTGACCTGATTTCCGAGCAGGAGCTGTTCCTCCGCAGCCGCAGTAGCTTCGACAGCATCCAGACCTCCAGGAGCGAAGGGGAAGAAGCCAGCTGCACCACGCACAAAGTCTGCGCGATTCGCGGGCTTTCTCAGAATTGAGGTTGAGTTCTTTGCAGTGGCGCTGTTTGCTGGAACAGTGACTTCCTTGTAGCCAGTAACACGGCCCTCAAGACCTTCACGTGTGAATCTGATGATGGTACGCGTTTGGGTGGGGGCCAGTTCAAAGAGCTCCTCGTGATTCGTCGGGCAATCCCAGCGTTGTTGCAGGCGGTCGAGCCATGGAGTGCTAAAGGATGTAGAGGGTGCCAGAAAGTCCTTCTCCAAGCTTGAGCGGATGTGGTCTGGCGATCTTCTCGTGCGCTTCCTGGGGCGTTGTTGGTCGAGGATGGCATCAATTCCCCCNGAGGGTGCATCTGCGAGGTACAGCTTTTGCAGCGAAGGCGCTAGATCATCCATTTTGTAGGGATTCGAACAAGCTTGCTTGGTTGATGAGTTTACAGAAGCAAAGTGTTGAACGTCAATAATCGAAGCTGGATGTTTGACCGCAAAATCGGTGACGCAATCATCTCAGCGACGACATCGATTTTTTGCACCAACCCCGAGTTGCTCACTTTACTTGATTCAACACGACCATGATTAAATATTCCTGTGTCGCCATTCCGACTCACTGCTTTGAGATATTCATATTTGGGGGTATAGTAGGCTATGAAGTATCAAAGCTCCGTCTTCAGCATGCACTGCGTCTTTATCCAATTATGATTCCATCAACAGCGTGACATGAAGCGAGCTCTATAGCCATCTACAACACCTCAGGCAGATGCATCCCCAGATATCAGACCCCACAAGTCAGCTATCTCTCGAATTGACTTTGCGAAGACATGAGACCAAGATGATATGAGCCAGAGATGAGTGAGTTTGTATTTCGGGATCGCACAAACCGATATATAAGCATCCAACACCGTCCTTGCTCGTTGCGCTCCTCTGTCGGTTTCCATCCTGGTACTTGTTCCAAGATGTGCTTCAACGCCAACGGATGGCATTACGTGCATAACACACCAAGCCCCGAGCCTCCTACCTACTCCAAGCAACACGACTCGACAGCCGCTTTCGAGTCGCTAGGCCTTATCGACTCTGCAGTAGAGCGCATACAATCTCTTTGGTTGAAAAAAGTCGATCGCTTTGATGGAAGTATTGTCGAGTTTGTCATCGAATACATGCGAGAGCGCGCCCACCTTGTGCCAGAGATGTACCTTGTTGGTCTCGGTACGCTTCCCAACTTCGCAGAGACACTTGGGGTGACTGGAGAGCTTCTGCAGCTGGCGATTGACTTGTTCTCGAATGATCAGGGTGATTCACATGTCATGCCTATCATGTTGTGGTTAGAAATGGCGATTATGGTCCAGTGGGGCAGTTTCGTGGGAGACAACCAAGTGGTGCGACATTCTTGATTCTATCTCGACACGGCTAACTGGCGAGTAGGCGAATCTGTCTATC